CGATTTTCCGCTTGTTGCTTGTGGCTGCACTTGTTCGCCTGGTCACTGAAGCTGATCAAGATTGCGTGATGGATGTTTGCACGTTCTCCAGGCAAGGACAAAGTTACTCAATGCTCTGGCATCGGCGCAGGAGGCTGACTAAAGGGCTGTGGCCGCATGTGCAGCAGATGGCATAGCCCGCTTGCATAAACGCCGAGTGTTCTGGTGTGAATCCTTGGGTAATGACCCCCCAAAAGCTGCCAGAATTGTGAGAACCGTGCTGCTTCCCCGTGTGCGTGCAGATCCGACCGGGGTTTTGGTCGTCTTTCCGTTTCGCCTTGAACCCCTACATACCCCTACCATCCCCTACCAGTTCTCTCCGCTGCCCACACTGTCTTGAGCAGTCCTAATGTTGCCGGCACCCGTTGATGAATCTGTCAAGATTCTGCCGCGACTAAATGTTTCTGTCCCCTTTTGAGATTGACCCAGGCCTGGATCCTGCATTCCTTTGGCTCCCCGTCCAAACCCGTCTCGGTCTCCAGGTCTCGCAGCGGCAGGCTCTAAAGCCGCGTGAAGGAATCAAAGCCTTTTCTTGCACCTTGGGTTTGATCTGCAATCCACTAACAAATCTGAGCTCCCAAATCCCTAGGTACAGGCGCGGTTGGAGCTGATTCCTAGTCCTAGTTCCTGCAAAAGCTCCCAATTCGATTTGGCATGAGACCAGTCCGCAGACAGGTCGACCTGCCTCGGGTGGAGCGCACTGTGGCAGAGCAGCAAAGAAGACGCCTTCACAATGCCCTGCAGGCGAATATAGACCTCTGGTGGATTGCATCTTGCTGCCCACGAATCCCTGCTTGGCAGTCAGGATATGAAGGGCCAGCTTCGCGTGTCCTGCCGCATACGCCCACTCAGCCGCCCTCGCGCGCTTAGTGGGTTGATGGGGGTTGCCTTTTGCACAGGCCCAATGTGCGACACATCATGTCGACCCTGCCAGCATGCCGTAGGTGAAGAAGAGAAGGCCCAGAAAGGCGAGTTGGGAGAGCCCGCGCTGCGCCCGCTGGATAGCTCGCGGGTGGAACTTCTCTCACGAGAGGGGCCGGCACAAGTGCCATAGACTGAGCTGCTCTTTTGCTTTGCACTGAAGACGACTTTGCTGGCAAATTCGAGCTGTCTTGAAAGGTTCGAGTTTGACAGCGTGTTCCGGCCGGATGTCCCACAGCAGGTCGTTGAGGCCGTGGGGTGTCAGCATTGGTGGATGCTTTTGCTCCGCTACAGCTACAGTTTATAGTCCCGATGTCTGGGTTAATCGCCTGCGTCTCCGACCGATGGTACAATTCCCTGCAACCAATCGGAACCCAGCTCTGACACAAAACCGAGCCTGTCAAAGGCTGGTTCTGCAATGAGTGCAACATTTCGTGATCTTTGCAGGTTTCAGAGGGGCCATTTCTTGCTGTGAAGTGTTGCTGGCCGTTGCCTACGATGCCCTTGATGATTGCAGACTTCTCTCGTCTCTTCCCTAGTGGTTTCTGCGTGCTGGGTTTAGGCAGGTAGTAGCAAGTCTCGGGTCGTTCTACGGGGTGTAAGCTCTGACCTGTGTGGAGGAGATCTTCGAAGATTGCCGCGATCTCGTGCAGTCCGCAGTTGACGGGCACAACGCCGTGACCACAGACGCACGTTTGGCTTCTGCGGCGGATGGCCGCAGGCAGGGCTTCTGCTGAGGTGACCGTCATGACCTACGGTCAGACAGGGGCCGGAAAGACCTACACCTTGTGCCACTCTCAGCTGCATGCGTCGCACAGGCGGTGCTATGTCTGTGTGCGACGTTGTGCAGGTTTGGGAACAAAGACCAGGAGGGGCTGGTGCAGTACATGATCCGAGCCCTGCCTCTGATCATCTCTCGAAGCTTGCCTCGTGTGTTGGCGAAGCACGACGAAGCGCTAAGGAGAAGTCTTTGCGCGCCTCGCAGACTCAGAGGAGGACGAGGCAGCGCAGAGCGCCGTGTGGGTTGCGAGAGCTTGGGGCCTGGCCGCTTTGAGGAGTGCAGCGTGAGCGTTGCTGGCTCCGCCTTGGAGCTCTGAGCTCAGAGCGACAGAGCAAGACTGCTAGGACCGCGATGAACAGGCACCTGAATCGACATGGTCTTCTCAAAATTACCGTAGAGAGCCCGGGTTCAAAATTACGGCAGGAAGTGCAACGAAAGAGTCAGGAATGTAAGACCCAGAGGGACGGAGGTAAATATCCTGTATATCTTGTTCGTTACAGGGGTGAGACAGTGACCAATGCGTTCGAACACCAAGAGGCTGCTTTGGTTTCAGAGCTCAGTCTTCAGGCTGTACAACAACCATTTCATCGACTTGCTCCGCCCCGTCGACCGAACAGGCTGCAGCTGATTGCACGTGCTTTGCTGCGGGTAACGCCATGATGGCGCCCGGGGGAAGGGACTGGCTGAGCCTTCTTTGCCTTGAGCCCAGCGACGAGGACGGCAATCTCCCGGTGTCAAGGTGTGTCTGGGGCCCAGGTGAGAGCAGGAACGCCGACTTGTCAGGTGACTGTAGAGTGGGAAACAGCTGAGACCGTAGCAGCGAATACGGCGGTAGCGAGGCATGATGCATTCAGCGTTCAGGCGTCATGCTTGCACGCCGTGGGCTGCCACCGTTTGCACATGCTCTATCGGCGCAGTGACCGTAAGTACCGAAGAATTATCCAACACTGAGGTGTTGACGCACAAGGCTCCGTCGAAGTGGACGGGCTTGCATCGACCTCGCTCGTTTCCGGATGTTTCGCCAGTTCGTCCTAACATGTCACTTTTCTTCAAGATCTCGCTTCTTAAGGTGCAAGATGTGGCGCAGACTGGCGATGATTTATTGGAAATCCTGCAGAAGGGTCTGGCACAGTCTGAAGCCTGGCTCAGACTGCTGAGCTTCTGCGGGCTTAGAGCTTACACCGCGCTTTGTAACTCAGGCGTGTTGTGGCAGAGCATGCGCTGAACGCAGATAGCTCTCGCAGCATACTTGGCCACACACTGCTTGCTCGCCGGTACTGCCTGTTCCAGTTGCCCCGCAACAGGCTCGCACATGATCTTCACAGTGAGGCTGCAAACTGAAGGCCAGCAGCAAAAAGAAGTAGACCATGCGACATTGTGCGGGAGCGCTACTGCGTCAGGTGGCTCAAAAAAGGCTTCGACAAGAAAGCTGACGTTTTGCGACCTCGGCGGCTGTGAAAGGCTATCTTGCACATGTTGCCCTCGCATGAAATTGGCCTGTTAAGTTGCAAGTTTGCAGGATCAAGCGAACTCAAGTTGCCGGGGAATTGCAGAAGGAGGTCCAACTCATGGCTGCCTCTAACAGCGTGCAGTTTGCGGGTTCATGCAAATAGGCCATTGAGATCAACAAGTCGCTCAGTGCACTAAGTGGCGTCATCGAGGCAGGTAATATAAGATGTGCTGTATGCTGTTTCAGAAGTATCGTTTTCAACTGTACTTCTAGCTGGAAGCAAAAGTTTGGCTGCCAGGCTGTTGCTGGCCGGCGGCGGCATGTTCCATACAGGCTTGCAGACGCAAGTGCTAATAAACGTGTGTTCTGCTCGAGCTCCAGTTGCTTGCTGCTGCAAGGGATCACAAGCTCACGCGGCTGCTACAGGAGCTGCTGACAATGTGATGCAAGTGAGATACAGAAACCTGTGCTGCGGGTCAAGAAAATCTGATGCGTCAGGATGCAGTGGGTGGCAGCGCAAAGGTCCTGATGTATGTCAGACACCTAGTTACTATTGCGTCCCCTGCACTTCGCCAGAAATCATCTTGGGACCGAGGTTTGCTGCTCCCCGGCCAGATCAAACATCGATGAGACAGCTGCAGCGCTGAAGTTGGCCTCAAGGGCAGCCAAGGCGAGGGGCTCTGGGCTTGCTGGTGTTGGTCCAGCTGCTGTTAGGACTGCTCTCAAACCTGATTGTGGGCAGGTGGTGAATCAGCCGAAGCATGCCGAAATTGCAGAAGCAAGTTCCAGCTTGTGAAGCCTGAACAGGGGTGACGGCAGTGCGAAGCGACCGCTTGACGAGTCACTAGACTGAACCTCACCGCAGATCCGATCTGCCTTTCAAACATGTTGAAAAGATGTCACTTGAGCTGAATCGCAGTGCCGTTGCCAGAACATTCGTTTCTCCAATCTAACGCTAGGCACAAGATGTTGGACTTGTGCCGTCGCAACGCATGAAATTCGAGTCGAGCTGAGTGCTCGAAGATGGTGCCCATCGAAGAATTGTGTCCTGGAGCCATGCCGATCTTTCAACGTTCCTAGCCTCAGCGGAGGAGACTTGGGCTCCGTCCGTAGCTGAATGCGACCGAGCTCGCGCGCAAGAGTCGCAACATTTTCAGATGTCAGCTCAAGCGGTCCTGCAATTGCAGCCAGCAGGGTGTCTACAGGCAAAGGCAGAGCTGTTGTTTGTTGCTTATTGCTGGCCAGCAAATAGGGTGCCAACCACCTGCTGGAATCTGAAATGCCATGTATCTTTTCACGTGCACACTTGTCTGTGCTTTTGCACGAAATTCAAAGCTTCGAAGAACCTTGAAGTGTTGTTCTCAGAGTGTCCACCAATTCAGATTTTCAAGTGTCTAGAGCCAGGGGGACATGGGGACAGGCACAGGTTCTTCGAGGCGTCTGTAGCTGAAGAGCCGCAGCACAGCTACAAAGCTCACTTGCTTCGCTTGACCACAAGCTGGAGCGAAGCTGGTGTGGGCAGCCTGGCATGGAAGTTCCGTCCCATCGTTGGACTCTGTCTGAGCCTTACATTGCTCGTCATCCCCGTGAGAGAAGGAACCGGAACCTTTGGCATGTACGAGAACTTGGCACTCTTCGAACTTTCATTGCCCTTAGTTTTCGGAAGGCGTGCCCTGCAATAGAGCAGAGCAACAGCCCGGGCAGCTAACTGACCGCCAATGCAGCCTACTGCAAAAGAGACAGGCGCATAGAAGATGCCATGTGCCCAGTCAAGGAGACGTTGACTCTTTGGGTTGGTCGATGCTCCAGGTCTCAGCTGGACAGCAGCCGTTGTCAATCCTGGACTTGTTCTCCATCCTCCGCCGAAGGACTGTTCTCGGCAGTCTGCTCTTTCAATCCCGCTCCGTGCGGATTTTCAGGAAGAGGAGAGAACTCACTGGGACCTGTTCGGAACCTAGACATTCGGCAGCGATGACGACAGCAAGGACATGGGTAACTTACGGCACTATGACATACACGAAGGCGATCTCAGTATCTGGACTGGGCCGACAACTGGCACCTTGGAAGATTTGGTGTAATGATAGCATGACATCATGCCCCAGACTGGAGGTTTGCAGCAGCAGATGTTTGGCGAATTCCAGAAAAGCTCCAGCAAGTTTTCGCTGAGTACCTCCGGAGTCTGGAGCCAGAAGTGAGCAAGCCAGACCCAAAAATCAAGAGCGCTTCCAGAGTTGCAGAGGTCGGCAGTGCCGGAAGGCCCAGTTTCAATCCAGAACACTGCTGATCTAGACTCCGTTAGAGTAAAAGCTTCCAAACCTGCCTCGCGGGTGTGTCCTAGGTCTGTGTTTTAGGGCTTCACTTATAGTTCATGCTCGTGTTCGATTCGCATGACGCGCAGCGTCCCAGTGTTTTGGCCTCACAAGCATTTCGTGCGGGGAGTTTGTGAGTTTGGACATTCCAGCGCCGGGACCTCAGAGGCCAGAAGCTCAGAAAATGGCAGGTCAAGGCCCAAGGCCCCCACTCTGAGGCCATGGCAGAGGACAAGCTCAAGCTGAAATCCTCCCAGGGTGAGATCTTCGAAGTTGATCCAGAGGCGCAGTCTGGCACAGTGAAACCCCCAACGGATGACTGTAGCCAAGGCTTGTGGCATGTGATGCTGACGTTCACGCCTTGGATCCGCCAGGTTGCAACGATGTCGACGCTGATCAAGAACATGGTCGAGGACTTGACTCTCCCGCGGATTCTGCGAGAGCATGGCAGATCTTCTGTGCTGATCTTGACTCTGCAGTGGCCAAGTCACGACCACACACGAACGAGGACAGTGGGACAGACGAGGAAATCCCACTGCCGAATGTGAAGACAGCCATCCTGAGCAAGGTATCCTTCAGGGTTGCATGCTCTTTGTTCGTTTGTCTACGGCATGTTTGTGGGCTTGGCGGAGGTGCTGCAAAGTCTGAGTTCTTGCATTCCGCTTCCTTCCAGCTTCGTTCTATACTGCAGTCGGTGCACCGAAAGACATCGTATCACGCCGCGAAAGATTCGGAATTCTTCGCAACCCATTGCCCGAAAGGGTCGATCGTGGAAGTGCGATCACCCCGAAAGCACGGAAGGAGTCTGAAACTTGAAACCTCACCTCAGTTGTCCAAGTGTAGCCGTGACCGAATCGTACCGAATGCAAGGTGATTGACTATTGCAAGTACCACAAGGACAACCCTCCCGAGGAGATTCAAAAGCCGCTGAAGAGCACCAATTTGGTGGAGTGCGGCGTGTCGGAGTGGGACAGCGAGTATGTGAACATTGAGCAGGAGGCGCGCTAGGCTGTCTTGTTGCAATCTTTAGGAGCGTGCTTGCGACGAGGTCCTCTTTGAGTTGATCCTGGCGGCCAACTACCTAGACATAAAGAGCTTGCTGGACCTCACCTGCGCGAAGGTCGCCTCCATGATCAAGGGCAAGAACACCGAAGAGATTCGAACCTTACCTGCAATCTTGCCTGTCAGTTCTTTCCCAGTTCGCTAGAACAGATGGATTTACACCGAGAGCAGAAAGAGGGTATGGGGTCGACCCGAAGGCAAGCAGTTCAACATCGTGAACGACTTCACCCCCGAGGAGGAAGCCCAGGCCAAGACGAATGCTGTGACTGCCACATTGTATCACCGTTATCAGTTTGTTCTGGCTGTGCAGTGATTCGAAGGTGCGGGAAGAGAACCGCTGGTGTGAGGATGCATGAGGTTGCAGCACTCGAGGTGTCTAGCAACAGGCCCAATCCTGCTTGCGCTGCGATGTCATCTGGGGCACTCATCGAGACCAACGTGGCAATCACACGGTATTCAATCCCAGACTAGACATAGGATTTTCAGACGATGTTATCCATACAAGCCCCATGGGCAGCGTGGCTACGTGACAAGAGCATCATGTAGTGTCGGCTGCAAAGGATCCTTTGCAGTTTGCCAAACCTGCTGAGGGTAACAGCATTGCCCTGCTTAGTGCCGGCGTGTACAGAGATCGGCCAGATATGAAACAAAGTGGGTTGAGCTGTTGATCCCGCCGTACTGCGAAAGGTGCAGAGCGAAATGTAGCGAACCTTGTTTCAGCCACTGGCTCTCGCAGTAGCAGCCCTGCCGAACTCGCTTCCACACAAGGCAGGTGTTGTGGGAGCTGATTCTGACGTTTACTGGGCCAGACGGCTCATTCCCTTGAGGATGAAGCTGCAGAAGCTATTGCTGCGCTGCTGCCTCAGGAACGCTAATGACCCCAAGAGCAACGACCCGCAAAGGTTGTGGTAGCACAGGCTGGGCCCCACCTGGCCTGGGTTTGCAGATCCTTCAAGATGATGGCACAGAATCCGTCATGCACAAGGCGCAGTAGAAGGGATCCCAATTGGTGGAGGAATTTGCCATGAGGGTTCTCGCCAGGAGCTGCCAGGAAAGGAGGAAGTTACGTGTGCTGAGCAAGTGCAAGTCCCCGGCTCAGCAAGTGATGAGCAAGGTCCACGGCCACGGTCCACCGCGGCGTTCTTCGTCAACTATTAATAGCTTTCTGCAGGCAATGGCCAAGAACCTTAGTGTGGAGCACCCTGAACTTCTTGCCAAGAAGCGGAAGGTGGTAGTCGCGGTGGCCGTACATATGAAGGCTCTACTGTCGTGCTGTATTGCAGGTTCTCACTGCGCAGCTTGCCCGACTCTACGATGTGGATTTGGCTCCTTCATCATCTTCATCCACCACACCATGTTCCTCAAAATCCTCGTCCTCTGTTGTCCAGGTAGAGTCTCTGTTAGCCTAGACGTGACAAGCTTGATCTGCCTGGTGAACCCGAGGCCGAACACGCACAACTGCCTGGGATTCAGCCTCCTGCTCAGCCGGCTCAAGCCGCTGCCCAGCACTGTGCAAAGCAACCTTGCAGGTCGTCGCATCTTGACTCCTTTGTCTTCAGACCATCTTGCGGGGGAATGATGATGCCGCTCACGGTCATCTAGCCTGCTGCTAAAAGCCTGTGGTCGTTTTATCAAGATGCGTTGCGATTTTGCCGGTGACTTCCGCAAGCTTTGTGTCTCGCCAGAGAGAGTGTTGGACACATGAGAGCGCCGGCGGTCTCTGAGGAGACCATCTGTGAACTCTGTGCATATTACGGCAGCAACTGTTGCTGCGCATTCAATTTGGCTTCCAGCACTGCGTGCATTACGTACGAGCGGCTTCAGTAGCTAAAGTAGCGCTCACTGGGCTGGACGCAAGACATTCAAGAGCCAGCAGGCCGTGTGGCCTCCGTCATGCAATCAACAAAGCTTGTTGGTTTCAATCAATTCAAACGGCTCTAATGTCTTGTGGGGAATTGTCTATTGTTTCGGAAGTCGAATTCCACACTAAGCTCGCCTGAATGGTGTTGTGGAACTACTAATCACGGGGAACAATTCAGCACTGATCATCTTCTGGCGGGCGTTTACAGAGAGCACCGAAATAGTTTGCCGACAGTGCGAACAAGCCGCAGACGTATTTCTGCTGCGATGAAGGACAAGCAGCCTGTGGTGCATATGATTTTCGAGCAAAGCATGCAATCAGGAAGACAGTTTTAGGCCACGTACGTGTGAAGATGTGAAGATCTTGTATTGTGCCAGCCAATATTTGGCTTACAGCTCCATTCCCAAGCAGCAGAAGCCGCGCTCAAACCTCAGTGGCCAGCATTATTTCAGGGACGGAGAGAGCCGGAATGTTGTTTTCGGGGTTGTGTCGGCATTAAAGTGGGGCCCGGAAGTTTGTCCGAGGATTTGCTTCTGCGTGGGTGTTTGTAGGACATGGGTGCTGCCCCTGCTTTTCTCTGTGTCTGCGGGATGCTGCTTTGTTGCTTGCACCCTTCGCAAGGCCGGAAAGCCGCACAATCGCCTCGGCTTCCGTAAAACTGTCTAACATGGCAGCAGTGGCTTTCGAGTAGAAACTGCAAGGTTTGAGACAGACAGCCGTCATATGCCTCGCCTGGATCGTCCGAGTGTGAGCGCCGAAAACACAAAACACATAAGCTTGCACCCCCGCCGCCCGCACCCCCCTCCCCCCTCCCCCATGATGCCACTGCTAAGCAAAGCCCAGGCCGGCCTTCCTGCAATGGCAGAGGACAAGCTGAAGCTCAAGTCCTCACAGGGGGAAATCTTCGAAGTCGACCCAGAGGAGATCTGTCAGAGCCCTGTCTGCGCAGTGCGGTAATGTACCGGCAGGTAGCGACCATGTCAACTTTGATCAAGAACATGGTCGAGGACGGTTTTGCAAGTGACCCCTGAACTGCTGCCGATTGTGTTATTTCTTTGTTGGGATCACCAGAATAGGACAGCGGCACGGATGAGGAGATCCCTCTGCCCAATGTGAAGACTGCAATTCTCAGCAAGGTGCAACCTCTAATCAGTAGCGGAACAGGGATGGCTGCTCAGCGTCGAATTCCAGGTGATTGACTACTGCAAGTATCACAAGGACAACCCTCCCGAGGAAATTGGAAAGCCGCTGAAGAGCACCAATTTGGTGGAGTGCGGGGTGTCGGAGTGGGACAGCGAGTACGTGAATATTGAGCAGGAGGCGCGCTAAGCTGTCTTGTTGCAATTTTTCAGGAGCGTGCTTGCGACGAGGTCCTCTTTGAGTTGATCCTGGCGGCCAACTACCTAGACATAAAGAGCTTGCTGGACCTCACCTGTGCGAAGGTCGCCTCCATGATCAAGGGCAAGAACACCGAAGAGATTCGCATCTCGCCACTACTTTTTTCGGTCCCTCTCATCGCTAGCGTTCACGGTTCAGTCATGGAGTGATGTGTAGAAGTTGAAACCACATAGGTGGCAGCTTTGCTTGACTCTGCTTCACATCTTGCTACTTGGTTAGACCCCCTTCGATTGAGGCAAGCAGTTCAACATCGTCAACGATTTCACGCCTGAGGAGGAAGCGCAGGTGCAAAAGATAAAATGATAAAGAGGTGCTAGCACGTCCGGAACGTGGGGGCTCCAAGCAGCCACACATGTGCTGTCGTGGCCATGAGGTCCGTGAGGAGAATCGATGGTGTGAGGATGCTTAGACTCCTTTTCGCCCACTCTTCACCCCCCGAGACTACTTCAAGTGTAGTGCTTTCTGATGGCCATCCTCGGTTGACAGAAGGGTCTTCAGAGCTCGGCCGCAAGAGCTGAGTGTAAGGCTGCTACGAGCAGTGTTATGCACGGTAGTGACTGTGCCAATTCGGATCGAGTCCTTCCATGCTGGAAAACGTCGTTCTTAGAGCCAGGCGAGCCAGGTGCGGGCCTGCTGCGGTCACTGAAATTTGAAATCCGGTAGTTCTTCCAATCCGCTGCCTCGATCGTGGCTTGAATTTGCGAACCTAGCGGACAGCTGGACTCTTTGACGCCGATCTTCCTGTAGAGCCGGGGCCCTACTCTTCAGTGGGCCAGCTGCTTCAATGCCACATGAAAGAAAGGCAGCTCTCTTTCGAGTTTTACACCATGGCGGATGGTGACAAGCTGAAGCTGAAGTCCTCCCAGGGTGAGATTTTTGAGGTCGATCCTGAGGCTCCTTCCAAGTTTGACTTGGGTACTTGGAGGATCATGGGACTTAGTAACTATAGTCTATAGTTATAAGTCCCTTAATGGGGGCTACAAGTAATTATAAGTATAGTTACCCCAATAATAACCCTAGTTACTAAGTCCCATGATCCTTTAAGTAGAGGGTCTCCGCACAGAGGCTTCGGACGAGACCCTGATTGACAGGTTGCCACCATGTCGACCCTGATCAAGAACATGGTCGAGGAGACGGGCGGCGTGGTAGAGGGCAGAAGATTTCGGTAGCCTCACGCGCAGGACAGTGGGACGGATGAGGAGATCCCGTTGCCGAACGTCAAGACTGCCATACTCAGCAAGGCCGGGTCGCAGGTTTCACTTTGAGCTGTGAGTCTGAGTGTGGCAACATGCCCCTATGCCGCGAACTGGTAACTGAGCATCATCGCTTTAACTGCCGGAGTGGCTTAGCGTCGAATTCCAGGTGATTGACTACTGCAAGTATCACAAGGACAACCCTCCCGAGGAGATTCAAAAGCCGCTGAAGAGCACCAATTTGGTGGAGTGCGGCGTGTCGGAGTGGGACAGCGAGTATGTGAACATTGAGCAGGAGGCGCGCTAGGCTGTCTTGTTGCAATCTTTAGGAGCGTGCTTGCGACGAGGTCCTCTTTGAGTTGATCCTGGCGGCCAACTACCTAGACATAAAGAGCTTGCTGGACCTCACCTGCGCGAAAGTCGCCTCCATGATCAAGGGCAAAAACACCGAAGAAATTCGAACCTTACCTGCAATCGGATATCAAGCCTCTTAGGATCTAGGCACGAGGTGGAAAGGCAGCCGTGCTTGGATGCAAGGCAAGCAGTTTAACATCGTCAACGACTTTACCCCTGAAGAGGAGGCTCAGGCCATGCAGTTTTATGAACAGACATGTGGCAAAGATCGACACATCCTGCAGCGAGGTCAGGGAAGAGAATCGATGGTGTGAGGATGCCTAGTGCTGCATTGCCGCAGCTTTATACAGCCGCGTACACGCTGTCGTGTCGAAATGACCGGTCCGTGACGAATCCCTTCCCCCTTTTACACTTACAAGAATCGTAAACGGGCCCCGCCCAACACAAACTCGGAAAGAGTTTTCATTATTGGGAGTGATTTTATCTTTGTTGTCTATTGTCGTGGGGGAAGGATGGTTGCTTAGGGGTTTAGGCGGGATTCACACAAGCCTGTGCAAAAAGGGGGGTTTACCGTTTGGAGGTTTAGAAGTTTAGGGTTCGTGGACAGAAGCCTGTTGCAAAAAAGCATGGGTTTGTGGAAAGCCTGTTGCAAAAGGGTCAAAGTCTTTTGGAGCCCTCAAGACACCCTCCCCTACCTCAGAGTAGGTTGTAAAAGCGCAGGGATGATGTCCGGAGGATTCGCCTCAATGTGTTCTTGTTGTCAGGTGGGTGTCTTTAACAAAACGGGGGTGGGGATGACACGGTGTTGGGTCATCTGGCAGGAAGGACCGACCTCGCCTTTCGGCTCAAGCTCCACTCCTCATAAAAACCCAACGCGGCTGCACAGCGGTTTTGCCAAAGTCGGATCTTGTACTTACCTGTTCGGAGGATGCGACTCCGCAATTTCAGATCCTGTAGTTACAAGCAGAACAGATGTGCTCGCATCAGGAAGCTCCCTCACGTCACGGGCGCATGTGTGCATATCCACGGAGCAGCTGTAAACTCTGTTCTCAGCTTTCCTTCTTGACTCCTACAGCCGGGGCCGCTGTGGTCCGAAGGCTTCTGGGGCGGAGGCACTCCGGGTTTCAGAGGTGCGGCACGGAGACGGACGTGGCGGCCCTTCCAGGTGCATGTCAGGGCGTCCCTGGCATGGGGGCTCCTCCTGCACAGTTGGTGCTGCTCCGAGAGGCAGAGACGGGATCTTGCAGGGCTTCTCAGCACGAGAGTGGCCGGTCCGGTTGCAGGTCGTGGGAGCAGGCCTGCCTGATGATGCACTGGCATCGGCATGGCAGCGGTCAGGCCAGGCCAGGATGTAGCTAGGTTCAGTATTCCCAAGAGCTGTCCAGTGGAAGGTGGTGATCTAGCTGCTGCAGTGAATCTTCTCCTCGATGCACCGGCAACATCGGCGCCGGCACGGCCCTGCAAGACCATAGAGATTGAGCCCCTTGCGCCGCAGCAGCAGCTCTGTAACTCTTGAACATGTCATTTAGTATTGACGTCCTGCCTGTGTCGAACCCGCGACAGGTGTGAACGGGTCTGGAGTTAGCATGAGTTGCCCTTGCCGCCCAAGCTTTGCAACCTTCACCTGCCTGAGAGGCGGAAATAGCGCGACATTTGGCGGCGGGGGGGGGGTGTGTGCGCGGAGTTCAACTTCCGAGACAACTTTGTGCACACAGAAATGTTCGATGCAAGCAACGGAAAACGCGGGACAACCGCTGGTTTCTTCGTAACTCTCGTTCTCGGGGTTGCAAGGTTAGATGACTCGGATGGCGAGGACCTGCTGGCAAAGCCAGTCGACTTTGAGCTGCAAGCTTTTCTTTGGCCTTCAGCTGAGCAAGTTGGTCACGATTCTTTGATACTCGCATGCACCAAGGAGGGCAAAGTGCAGCTGCAGCCAGTAGCATCAGAGGCACAAGCAGGTGCGCCAGCGCCAAGTGCCAGCAGCGGTAGCCGGGGCCAGGGCGGCCAGGGTAGCTTCCTGGGCCTAATGAAGGCGAAGCCAGAACCGAGCGACCCCGGCCCCGCAACGAAGAAGCGACGGACTTCCGGACGCAGCTCGGAGACTGCGGCCAAGCCCGCCGGAACGCGCAGCCGCACTTGCAACATCGAGTGGTCCATGGCCTTGGGCAGTGTCCAGTTTAAAGCCTGGAGCACAGTCCGGCTCGGGGCAGAGCAGCGCTTCCCAACAGGGGATGCCGACGGCAGCTTCGGACCGCTTCTGTGTCCGGGCCGGCGCCTGGAGCTGAGGTGGGCCGTTGAGGCCAAGAAGTCACGGGCCCGGCCTGGCACAGCTTCGTCGCAGGTGGGTGCAGAGACAGGAACTATCCGCTTCGACGCTTGTGGTCAAGAGGTGGGCCGTTTCTCAGCGGATGCGAACAAGACTTTGGTTCCACTCCTCGCCCGGCGGCTCATCGACGTGGAGGCGGTGGTTGGCCGCGATCCACCCCGAGCTCTGGACTTGGGCACCGACCTGCCAGTCGTGGTGCGCGTGTCCTTGCGGTCGGTTGCCTTGCGAACCCCGGGGCAGAGCACCAGCACTGCCAGCAGGGCCAGCACTCTCAGTGCCCCGACTGGCCAGTCCGCGGAAGCAGAGAATGCAAAAAGCAAGTCCAAGGGACAGAACCAGAAAGCCGCCGCCGACTCGGCTCTTGACCAGTGTCATGAAACTTGCCTGCACGCCTGAAAAGCCTGTGACATCAGGTGCACAAAGAAGAGGCTGACAAAGAAATTCAGCGTACGTCCACAAGCATGTTATTGGACAAGTCCCGGTCTCAAATGAACTGCCAGAAGCTGCATGTGCATCTCGCAATAGAGCTTGTTAATGCGGTTCATCTCAAGCTTGGATTTCTCTGAACCCCACCCTGGTCGGTGATCTGCTTTCGCTTGCCGGTCAGCTCAAGAGATCTTAGCCGGGTTTGTCGGAGCGAAGGTTGAAATTGCCCTGCCGTCGGCGCGCTGCCTTCGAGGGCGACGTGACGATCAATACGGCGGATGAGCCTCCGTCCAAAGCCGAAGGCCAAGGAGACTGTGCTTGTGAGAACCCGTTCCTGCACTCTCATGGCAAGAGTATCCCAAACCCAAAAACAACCAAAAACACCACAAACAAAAACACAACAACCAACAAAAACCAAGCATCCACTTCTCAATTAGACTAGTCTCACAGGTGTTTTTGTTGCGTTTCGTTTGGCAGAAGAGCTCGTTTTTAGCATTCTTTACCACTTAAGGCTCTTACCCAGTGCTACAGAGCGCTTTGAAACAGGGGCATCAGGGGCTCGGTGGCCTACCTTGTTTCCCTGTCTGCACTTCAAGAGCGGCTTGCCAATGACATCAATCAGAAGCCAAAAAGAGATCAAGCACTTTTGCGAGCGCATCAACAGTTCTACGCTGGTTTCAGGAGGCATGGAGGAGGAGCCGGAGGAGGAAGAGGAGATGCCATCCACTCAGACATGTTGCCAGCTAGTGGTGACTTGGGAGGGCAGCGTAGGCTCAATACAGGGCTCCTTTTGCAGCGTGAGGTCCAAAGTTGCTGCAGCTCAGCTAGGTAGAAGCCGAGCCCCAAGATCTGCCAAAGTGTTCTGCTTGACAGGCACTTTCTGAAGAGGGTTCCGTGTCAAGGTGACCAATTGGAGCGACATGATCTGCCCGGGATCGTGTTGCCAAGTGGCATTTTTGAGACGAGGCGCCGGCCCATGATTAAAGAGTTCGTGAGATGCGTGCTTCGACAGAACCAGCAAGCTGGGGTTGCGAAGGCTGAGACCATACCAGGCTCAGGCAGTGTCAGGACCTCATGTCTTTGTAGTCGTGATACTCACCCTACCACAGACATGCATGCAGAATGAAAGTTTCAGGTTCTGGATGTGGCAAAGGGAGAACCCCACATCGTCCCTGCCAGAGAGCCCAGCCGTGTTGACCGTGGCGATGACAGCTGCCAATGCTATTGGCTGGCTCAGGCCATCGTGCTTCAAGAATTCTGATCCCCACAGAGACGAAGAGGCAACGGCCTTGAGAGCGGTGATACTTGCCACTTCAGCTCGACCGAAGTAAGTTGACATTGCTGTTGCATGTAGTGATTGTGGTCTTGCCTTCATTGACAGTGCGAAGGTTTAAGTCTAGGTATGCTGCATTTGACGATAGAGTTCGTCTCTCCGCCTGCTTGGTCGTCCTGTGGTAGAGTTACTCGCTATGCTGCCGCGTTGCCGTCTGAGCGACGGTTTGCCCTACTCTTTGGAGGTTGAGGCCTGTGCAAGTCCAAAAATGTGCGGAACTCATGAGTGTTGAGGCCTGTGCAGTCTTTCTTCAGCTGCTCGAACACCCGTCACTCTCTGAGGTCACAAGCCGCACAGGAGCCGAGAGCTTGGAAGGTCTGCAGGCTGTTACAGGTTGCTTGCGAGGCATTCTGTGGCGTGCCTTGTGTCGTGAGAGATAGCAGTTTCCCGTCCGTGCCCAGGCCACCGCAAGAAAGGCAGCTGCATCCCATGTGGGCCCATGCCCCGGGTGCGATTCTGCTCTCCCGTCATCTCTGCGAGAGCGTGAGAGCTTGAGGATGAGTATGAGCTGCCGGAGGAGACAGGTCCACTGCCCGGAGGCCTGGGGGCAAGCCGCATCCGTCAGGGTGTGGTCATGTTCTTGCCAGGCAAAGAGTCGACACGCTACTTGTACTACCATCGCACAACCGGCGCTTCGATCTTAGCACGAGCATGTGGCGGCGAAGAGCCTGCTCCTACTTTGATTCGGGCAGCGTGCAGGTAGTGTAGACATCGGCAGCTCCTTTTACTTCTCCAGGCCTTGTCGCTCGACTTTCCAGATGCGGCTCTGGCGCTCGTGCCTCATTTCGCTGGAAGCAAAGCAGAGCTCTTGTTCTTGCAGCTGGGTGGAGGCATTGCCGTGGGGGCATACTGGCTGATGACATGGGTTTGGGCAAGACCGCTGCCAGCTTAAAGCTGTTTTAGACGGTCGTTGATTGGCGGCGAATCTTTTGTAGCTTTGTCAGAGGTTATGTGTCTAGCGCTGACTGCGCTGGATTACGGCCCTGGCAGCTTGCCAACAGCGGAGGGCTCAACAATCGTGCGCGTTTTCATCTTCTTCACAAGACATCGAAAGACTCCTTCGGCCAGGCTCGGAAGGCGGCGCCGGAGCTTCGAATGCTGGAGGACCTGCCGCTTCTTGTGTTCTGTACAATATGCCCTAACAAGCTCTGGCTGCCTGCAGTGCAGACACTTGGTTCTGAGAGATTCCGAGCTGGCCATTCAAACAGGATAGCGACGGGTAGGCATGCCATCCATGCAGTCTCTTAGTCCTTAGTTGTCGGGAGGAAGCAGACCCTTCGTCTAACCAGAAGAACGCATTCTTTCAGTGCCGAGCTTGGGAAGCACCAAAACACATTCCTGAGCACGCTTTGTCCTTCCAAACTGAGGGGGCAAGACGTAGGAGGCGTTGGTGGCGTTCTTGTTGCCGGGCCCTAAGAGCCTAAGAGCCCACTTCACAGGGAGCTTAGAGAGGGCCAACGCCTTGGAGCCCTGGCTTCGGTATTCGATGGTAATCCAAAAGACAGAGATGAGTCAAGAGCAGAAAGCGCGACGCAAGTTTTGAAAGCTTGTCAGCGAGGTAGCGCCGCTCTCGCTGATTCGGCAGTGGTTCTCGGAGGCAGGCATGATTGGGCGTCGGAGGAGTGCGCCAAATCCATCTTGCAGGCTCAGAAGCACTTCTTCGATTCAGCCGTCCCATCGATCCATGAGTTCCATGGTTCAGGTTCCTGCAGCGCTAATTCTGGCTCGTTCGTGCACTTGTGCCTTGCTGGGGCTGGGTAATTGGTATCGAAGGAATCTAACGGTTCGCAATGCAAGTGTTCTGCGTAACATGCAACAAGCGGTCTTCTGTAGAGGTTGTGAAATCTGCAAGCTTTAGGAGTTTAGGAGTTGGAGTTTCGAGGTTCTGTAAGGTCTAGGAGTTTAGCGGCTAAGTCTCGTTTCTGATAGTGCTGTTGCTAAAGTTGTCGGCGTGAGTGTGTAGCCACGAGTGCTACAGCATTCACCACTCCCCGGCAAGACTTCAAGAGGGCTGGATGCAAAAAGAAGTTGGTGAGTTTCAATATCTTGCTGCTTTTGAGGCTTCCTCTGACAATCACTAGGGAAGTGTCCCAGTAGTGAGTCTTCTAATGACGCACATCGGAGTGGAAGTCTTGGTGAGAGGTGGAAAAATTTAAGGCTGCTACAAGCCACAAAATAATGGTACAACAACGGGAAAAGACACCCTCCTACAATTGTGACATCAACCTGGCTAAATCCTGCACTCTTATCCGCAGCTCTCGGAGAACCAGGCTTGTATTCTAGTAGGAGTGCTCAGTCGTAAATGGGCATTCGTCAGGTTCCGGAACAAATCTTGAAATTTCACAGGCAAGAACATCTCCTTGGAGCAGCTGCGCAACACCGGGGCCGGGACCCAAGGAGTATGCTAGAAGCTAGCAAATCTCGCCGAAGCATTTTATCTCGAGGGTGTTTCAGCTGACAAAAACATCGAAGGAGTTTTGCTCTCTTCGCCATTGCTGTGCTCTCGACTGACATGCTATTTGTGGAGTGTCAGTGCTGTCGATTGCAATTGCTCTGAGCTGTAACTTGGGGTGGCAAAGAACTTGCCAGGCATTGCCTTGCCATTCTGAATAAGTCCTTGAAGTGATCGGGTTGTGTGGGGTTGTGTGGCAAGATGCGGCAAGTGCATGTGCTGGCCGGTGCATGAACAGCAACTGCAAAATGTCGGACATGGGTTGAGAATGATTTGTGCTAGGATTCCTCAGGATGTCTTGAACACTCTTGAGCCTCTGTAAATGTACACTGCCCTCGAGCCAAGATCGTTTTGACCACCTACAACACGCCAGGGACTCAATGTGGTCCTGCCGGGTAGCGCGAGCAATGTTCCTCATTATCACAGTCCTGAAGATGTCTGCTGTGGATCCCAGGCTGGCCTCCCAACGACAGGATTCATTGCTTTTCCAGGTGTACTGGAGGAGTGAGCCAGCCGGCGCGCACCTCTTGACAAACATAGACAAACAAAAGCGGGATCGGAGGGCAGTCGTGTAGTTCTAAGTGCTGTAAACTGAATCTCACTGATCACCTTGTTGTCCCCGTCGGTGCATGAGCAGGAGAATCATCCTCGATGAGGCGCCCTCTTGCCCGTGTTGCGATCGGATGTTCCGAGTGCACCCGTAGAGATGCGTTCCCTGCCAGCCTCTAAAAATCCGGAGTGGCTGGCAGGAGGTTGAGTTGCAGGGTGAGTCAAGTCAAGAGTTCGCTGTTTAGGTTAGATTGTGCTGTCCTTGCGTGCCGGTCTGCAGCAAAAGGTTAGACTGTGCTGCAGGGTTGCTTGTTCCACAATGCTATTGAGTGAGGGAGAGTATGAGAGAGTCAATCGGGTTGGCATCCATATGATGCAGCTGTCAGCCTTCGGCACGAGTCATCCGAGTTGTGAGAGTTGAGAGTTAAATCCGGCCGTTGATGCAATTTCTGTAGCCACGCAGCAAGAAGCACCACGATACAGGGCTTTGCTGGTCTGGATAACGCAGATGAAGCACTTGATGCTATCGTGCCAGGCCCATAGCATCAAGAACCGTTGCAGCAGGCCTTCTTGCAGCCGCTGATGCATGACACGACGCAAGACACGAACTTTTAGTCTCGATCACATGCAGGCAAGCACAGGCGGCTTTCCAGCTGCGAGGCTTCTGCAGATGGCCGTGTGCTCGGCTTGAAGCTGTGGTGCCTGCGTTTCAGGGCGGTGGCGTGACAGCACATGCCGGCCTGAGGTGTGTCACCGGCACGCTGGAAGCCCAGAACGCGCGGTGCAGAGCTTCCGCTTCGTGAGAGCTCCTGGCCAAGGCCGCTTCAGAACAGTGTAGAGGAGCTCTACTCCACGGTACGATTCTTGCGCTCGGGACTTGTCGACATAGAGTATGGTTGCACACGCTTGAGATCTTAAGAGGGGGGCCTTCCAGCAAGAGGTGTGGAGCCTTGGTGTGCGTGGCCATGCTGGCGCAAAGCCGTTGCTGCAGTCTTAGCCTCCTCATGATGGCTTATCCAAGAATCGCGAGTCATAGAGGCACACGCGGCATCAGACAAATTGGCTGGACAATGCCGCTGTGAGTTGCAGCGCAGCGCGTGAGATGCAGTCCGCGATCAGGCGATCCCACTGGAGCGTGGTCGGGGCCTTGGATGGCCTTTGCAGCACCCGCAGCACTCTGGCTGTGGCAGAGGCTCTGGTGTTTGGAGCCCACGTTTCCTGGTGAGATTCTGGACCGAGGGCGGCACGGTGATCCCGATGCCATGTCACAGGCACTGGACACTGCTCGGCGCATTGTCCGGGGCCGAAAGGGGGACGCGATTCTGACGAATTCCGGGCCGGAGCCGTCGGAGCCAGTTATCTTTCATCGCCGATCTATAGCATGACAAGCAGCGACAGAGGAGCGATTTGCATGGCCTGGACAGGATAAGTTTGCCTACCAGTTTACACAATACCTACAGCACCTTCTTATGGCGAGAGCCAGCTGCGGTGAGGTGACACCGTTGATTCTGCGGCGGACGAAATCCACTGCATCCAGCTTAGCAAGGATGAACGACCCCGTGACTTGAGAACGCATTGTCGAGGCAGCACCAGCCATGAAAGAAATGCGCTGCAGTGCCGGGAAACAAGAGTTCACCAGTGCTCGCCGAAAAGCTGGGCTCAAAGCAGCTTTGACTGTCAGCCGCAACTGGATCCAATCATGGCTGACGCGCTCGTGCGCGAGCAGATCAGCCCCTTGCCCTACCGGAAGAACTCCATGTCTCTTCGACTGCGCCTCGTAGGTTCATGCTGTGTACCAACAACACACCCCGAGTATCCCCGAGTATCATGGCACATCGGGTCCGACAGAAGCGCATCCTTCAGTAAACCGGCTCGTAGTTTGTCAAAAACATTGGCATCCGACTCGAGGCGAGTTCTACGAGACTTTCAAGCTCTTTGACGAGGACAAGGATGACAAGCTATCCTTGAAGGACATGGGCATGCCTGGAAAAGCTGGAACTTTGGTTTTGCATGTTGCGTGTGTGAGCTGATTCTTCTTGCAGGAGTTTGGGACTTTGCTCAGAGTCTCGGCTTGACTTGTACAGTTTGCAAGCTTCAGCTTCCTACGGAGCTCCACACGAGTTTCAGTCTCCCCTGAAGGTTCGCTTGGCCAAAACCCGACTGAACAAGAGCTGCAAGACTGGATTGGTGGTGACGGGGAGCATGAGCCTCTCGGCTTGCCGATGATACATATACATACATACATACATACCTGCATATATACATATATATATATATATATAAATAAGTAAATTTTATGTGTATAACAAAAACAGTTGTATATATATATATATATACATGTATATATATATATATATACATATGACTGCGTACATACATACACATTCAATATAACTTGATCTTAACCTATGCTCAAAATTTACTTAGCCTTCCATCTGCAATGTTCCGACGCTGAGGGGCACACACTCGGAAGCAGGAACCTACAGGAAACCCAGTTAGTCAACCCGCGGTGCTCCAACAAGACGATTGTTTCGCAAGCTGAAAGGACACCAAAGTGCCTACCTAAATGCAGCACCGCAACACAAGACCAAGAACGCTTGTTACGAGCAGTAGTACCCAAAGAATTCTAAACAGGTGGCCAGTGCATTTCCAGATACGTACGAACTTGCGTACGTGGGCATGCATGCCTGCATGCATGTAAACCTCGTGCATGAGTGTATGCCTGTATGCAAGTAGGCAGCTGTGCATGTAAGCAGCAAGCACTTACGCATGTATGCATATATGGTGCAGCGCTGCTAGGCCCCGCCTCCCTCCCACCCCATGGTATCATCCCTTCCCCCCTGTGGTTCCCTGTGGTGTGGGTTCCCCGCTGCCCCTCCCCCCTGTGGTGGCGATCGGCTGCGTCCCCTTCCGTGGCTATTGCTGGTTGGGTGTCCGGTTGCTAAGGGTTTGGACCTTAGGATGTGATACAGTTCCACTGAACTCCGACCTGCCCGGAGCTCCAAAGCCAATGATAGTGATGAAAATTGTTGCGATGCTGATGACGATGATGGTGGTCATGATGCCCATCCGCAGTCTCCCCCGGTCCCTGTCCCGAATGAAAATATCATTCACACACATGCTGCATGTGTCACATGCTCAAGCTTACTTTTAAGGAAACTTGGCTTGGAATGACAACGGTCGATACAGTTTTCGCAACAACATCACAAGCCAAGCACGATTCTCAACTAATTAATGCAATCAACATGCGGTGCCGAAGCCCAGAGCAACATAAGAGCAAAGGTACCACCAACAGCCACACTGCGAATAGCAACTTCATTGTGCACAACATGATCCACCCGTCCTTCTCATCTGTGCGTCGAAGGGGAGGGAAGGGGCCCTGTAGTTCCCTGTGTTGTGGCTTATCCTTCCCCACCCCTTCCCTGTCTTGTGGCCCATGTGTTGTGGGTTATCCCTCCCACCACCCCCGTTTGCCAAGGCGAGAGGCTGGGCTTGGGGGGTGGGGGCATACCATGGGGGTGGGGTGGGGGGCCTGCGACGCGGCGACGCGGCACCATATGGTGCATGTATGCATGCATATATGTATTCACGCATGCATGTTTGTAATTAATGCATGTGTCTGTTTACGTTTTTTGTATGTATGCTGGTCTGCTTTGCGATTGCGAGTGATAAAGAATATGTACGTGTGTGAGTGCGAGTGACAAAAATATATCTATGTATATATTTTTCTATGCCGAGAGCAATTACGCAAAATGTATACTGTATGTATGCTGTGTATCCATGTATGTTACGAAAAACCTCGCCTAAGTTGGTCGAGTGCGAGTGCCAAGAACGTATGTCTATCCGTGTTACTTGTATGTCATGCTGTGTTCTGCACGTAGGTTGGTAGGTGGGGTGGGTTCATATGTGTGCAAACATACATACATATGTACATACATATACACAAATAGACATACAAATACACATGTAACTTCAGATATAGACGATACCAGTAATAAACATAATATACATACAGAAATAGATGTACAGAAGCCGATGCACACACACACACACACACACCTACACACGCATATATATATATATATATATATATATATATGCTCGCCCCCCCCCCAGATCTACGTCTGCAGGTTTTCGGAGTCTGGATTTCCTGATTTCCGGCTTTCTGCAGTACGTAGGTTTCCAGATTCCAGATTTGCATGCACTATGTTTCCAGAGATTCCAGATTCCAGATTTCCAGATTTGCTCACCCTAAGGTTTCCAAACTTCCAGAAATCTTGAATCTGGAAACCCTAAGGTTTCCAGAAATCTGGAATCTGGAAACTTAGAGCCTGCAAATCTGGAAATCTGGAATCGTAGAGCCTGCAGATTTCAGATTTGCATGCACTATGTTTCCAGAGATTCCAGATTCCAGATTTCCAGATTTGCTCACCCTAAGGTTTCCAAATTTGCAGAAATCTGGAATCTGGAAACCCTAAGGTTTCCAGAAATCTGGAATCTGGAATCTGGAAACTTAGAGCCTGCAAATCTGGAAATTTGGAATCTGGAATCGTAGAGCCTGCAAATCTGGAAATCTGGAATCTGGAATCGTAGAGCATGCAAATGTGGAAATCTGGAATCTGGAAACTTATCCTGCAAATCTGGAATCTGGAAACTCTAGGACGTGTAGAAACAAGAGCATCAGCCGTGGCCTCATGAACATCAGTCGGCTTCGGGGCTGGTCCTAAAACCAAAACCAACTGGACAGAAAGCGTCTTTGAGATTGATCATGGTCAAAAAGAACTGAATTTGCTTTATGTAGCACTCAAAAACGACGTCATGGGGTAGCGGCTCCAGTTATTGCACTGCCATGCAGCACCGCTGATGCTCATGATGCGCGTGTCTGGTCCCCCCCCAAACCTGCTGATGCTGGTCGTAAAACCAAAACCGCCTGGTCCGTCTCGTTCTCCCACAGCCGAAATCTGAGCCAGTGAGTGTTTATGAGAGGGTCTAGTGAAGAGGGACATGCGATGTGTGATGGGTGCGCAGCTGTGCACAATCAAGTGTGACTCCAAGCCTACTGAAATCTTGCCGCACACGAAGCCATGGAAATCCACCCGGACGAGGTGCGGTTCAACCGCACAAAACATGTAATGCTCAAAAAAATCAACTTTTCCAACCCTTGAAACGCACGAAACACTGCTATGCTCAAAAAATTCCAAACTTTTAAGGAATCTGCCCCCGGCCTGGCCATAGATGCCAGAATTTTAGAGTTTGTGGATTTTTTGAGCAGTACAGTGTTTCGTGAGTTTCAGGGCTGGATGTTTTGGAATTTTTTGAGCATTATAGTGTTTTCTGATGTCCAGGACAGAAGAAATTGCATCACAAGATAATTGTGTGCTTTCAACCGTTGTCAAGGACTGGAAGTAATGATTTATGTGTCTTCTGGAACAACAAGGGTGTTCATTACTCTTGTTTGGTAAGTATGAAAAAGGCCTAGTCGTTGCATAGTTTATTTCATGTATATGTTTTCGGAGGTTGGTAGATCTATGGCACCAGCAGCACTGGCTCCAGTACCTGAACTTTCTCGAAAATGGTTTTGGCCATTCTTCGGCAAGCTGCACCGCCTACAGATCCAACACTAGCAGCGCAAGCCTATCTAGAACTTAATTCATTTCATGTTGAAGACTGTGGGAAACTGTTTGCATCTTGCTATCATCAGAAACAATGGAGACTTCCTATTCGGTTTCCTATGAGACATCCTCATACCTATCAAGCAAGAGACATGAAGATTCCTGCTAACCCAGAAGAAAATTCTACGATGTCACCTGTAGTCTTTGAAGACTGAAGAGAGCTCCTTCTCATGTTGTGATACGAACTATAACAGCGTTTAAACCACAGTCACAGACAGAAGGACCGGTATCGCTTTGTCAGGATGTGAGGGAGGTGTAGAAACCGATACAAGTCTTACGCCTCTTGCCCGTGTAATAAAAGATACCAGTAAGCAAGCTTTTCTTTGTCTCCTGATCACATCTGGGGAGCGTCGCTTGAAGATTGAAGAGAGCTACTTTTTTCCGCTACGTTCTATGACAGCAATTAGAGAAACAGCCATAGACATGGCGATCGGATCTTTTCTCCGGGGTATAGGACAGCGTCAATAAGAGCTAACCGAATGAAAACTCATGGCCCAAATGAGTACCCTCAAAAATAAACAGCGATTGCTATGCACATGGCTGCCTTTAATATCGACTCACAACATAAAGAGGAGTTTTCTTCCATGAAGTGCCATTTTACTTTGTTTTACAAGGTTAAGGAGCCCCTGCCTTGTGATTGATACGTATCAATGCAGCCAGTCGTAATTAGTCCTGCTTCATGTTTGGAAGGTTGCAAGAGCTCTCTTACTTTTTGCTGCAGACGAGCCTTCTTGTGCGCCTGCATATGCACATGAACTTTCCAACTCCAGGGGAGCTTTCCCATTTTTTATGAGGCAAAGAACAACTATTGGAGTATTGCTTCAAAAATCAACGCGCCCGTATATTCGACTTCCTCCATCTATAATGGACAGGACATGAAAGGAGCTCTTTGTAAACGAAACTCATAAATCAAAGGCTAGAGCTATTAGGCCGCATCAGAATCGGACGCTCACGAGCAGCGGGAAAGAGATGGCCCACGCACGCAGACGTCTTCGTAAGAGAGACAATAGTATTTTTATTATTAGAGGAATGTCGTTAAATAACACACCATAAAACGCAAAAAACACGAGGTTTTTTAGTACTACCTGAACATAAATAGCACGCCCTCCAGCATTTCAGCTTCTCCAACATATAAACTACCATAAATCTGCTGCCGAGATTCGGCGCCAGGCTTTTACTCATATCAAACCCGCGACTTGCAGCAGCACTGTTTGCATGCACATGGAGTAAAGCACGATTGTATCGGAATTTACGGTGTTTACGGCATATATGAGTAGTCGACCAATGTAGAGAAGCAACCTGTGGAATTGTGTGGAAGAGGCGGATGTAGATCTTGGGGGGGGGGGGGGACCATATATATATATATATATATATATATATATATGGTACCCCCCCCCCCAAAGATCCACGCTTTCTGTCTGTTTCCAGCTCTTCGTGTGCCATCCCCGTTTGTTTGTTCTTCATGTCGTCTGTATGTGTGTCTTCCTACGTGAATACCACAACATTTAGCAGACACACACACACACATGGTTGGGCAAACTCCGCTCCAAAGATAGTGGGTACAGGCCTTGGCCCCTTAGCCCCGGTACAAACCGGTACAACCGGTACAAGTTGTACCGGGGGAATCCAAGATTCCAAGATTCCAAGATTGCTGCGGAGTCTTTTTTGGAATCCTGGAACTGGATGGGCTCCGGTATCCAAGATTCCGAGAAAGAGTTCGCAGCAATCTTGGAATCTTGGATTCCCCCGGTACAAGTTGTACCGGTTGTACCGGTTTGTACCGGGGGGACCCTTCCAAGGTTCCAGGAGAAGACCGGTACAACTTGTACCGGTTGTACCGGTTTGTACCGGGGCTAAGGCCTGCATCCGAGATCTAATACCCGATGTGTTGCCGGCAACAGCCCTTCCCATCCCTCTCCCCTTCCCTCCCCTTCTCTCTTTTCACCTCCCCACCTTCCCCCTCCTTTCTCAACAACCCTGATAAATATTCCTTATTAGAAAATTTGTCTATCCCCTGTGTAGAGACCGTGTCGAGAATCCTAAACCCTTATAGACTCTTTATAGAAACCTTACAGATTCCCTTATAGATTTTTTTTATAGAGACCTTACAGATTCCTTATATAAAGACCTTATAGACCTGAAATGGAGCCCGTATAGAAAAACCATAGATTCCTTATAGAAACCTTATAGATCCCCTGTATAGAAACCTTCGAGAAACCCCTCATAGATCCCTTATAGAACTCTGTTACAGATTCCGTTCCGAAACCGTGTGGGTTCCCAAACAGCGGCCTTATGAACACCTTGAAGAATAGATCCCATCTATAACGACCTTATGGAAAACCCTCATACAGCTCTGTTTTGGAGCCGTTCCAAATAACCGTTATAGATTCTCTCGAGAAGCCTTATGAATTCCCTATAGAGACCTTATAGAGATCCCGTATAGATCCCTTATCGAGAATCCTTATGGATTCATTATAGAAGTCCTTGCATTGCAGAGCCCCATCGTAGAACCTTATGGGAGCTCCCTATAGATCCCTGATATGGAGCCCTCATAGACAGCCTTTATAGATTCTTATAGAAACTTTATAGATCCCTTATATAGAGAGTTACAGAAGCCCCTTATAGATCCACAAATGGAGTTCTTTATAGAAAACTTTGAGAGATTCCTTGCACGGAGCCTTCATAGACAACTTTTATATACTCCTTATGAAAACTAGTAGATTCCCCTCTATGTGGTTTTCCCCCCTCTAGAAACCACATAGAAGCCCGGTATAGATCCCTCATTTTGGGCCCATGTAGAAACCCTTACAGATTCCTTCTTGAAATCTTATAGATCCTCTATGTAGAGACCTTATAGAAACCCATGATATAGAAAAACTATAGATCCCTATAGAGAGAGTTTCTAGAAACTCATTATGGATCCCTCATATGGAGCCCTTATAGCAAACCCGTTTATATTCCTTATAGACACCTTGTACATCCATTGCAAAAAAACCCATTAGAAACCCCTTGTAGATCCCTCATATGGGCCCATATCGAAAGTTCTATAGATTCCATATAGAAACTTTGTAGATCCTCTATATAGAAACCCAGATCTTCGTGGTCGATGTCGATGCCGGAGTATTTGCGTACTTGTTTTTTCTCCAACATGCCATGAAGATATTACATTTTTGTGTCATATCCATGGGCTGACATATGCAAGACAATATGCATGTCAGGCCGGCAGTTATATGCTATGGAGGAGTGGTAACTGTGGTGCACCGTGTCATTAGCTTCATGGATTGGCCTGGTGGCTGTTTAGCCAGAGAACCCCTGTCCTTGACGCATTGCCTATGGGTAAGGTAAGATTTCATACCTGAGGACCATATCTGATGTACACATGTACAAACTAGCAATCACAACCTTCTGTGTTGCAACATTTATATAGAAAATTATCCTGGACCGAATGCAAACTGTTGCGTATCATATTGACAGAGGAACAGCATATGATGATGTATGGATGCCATATCCAGTCTTTGACATGAGACTACGAATGCCAGGAATCTTCTTGTGCTCATACACCGAGGGATAGTACAGTTGTTGAAACCAGTGGCATAATTGTTTTCAGACACGATGACGACCGATATCAAAGGTAAACAGGTGCATAGCAATATCCTGCATGCGAGCGTGCCGGGATGCGTGGACGAACCTGAAATTTGACATTTGTGCTTTTAATTCTATGTCTGAATCAGTGCGAAACTTTCTGGGTTTCGGTTTGTAGAATGCGTGATATGGCTATGTAGCATTTAGCTAAGCGTTTGATATTGTCTATATAAAAAACTAGCTAAACAGACCCTAAAGTCACGATCATTGTGCCACCGTTTGTCTCCATCACCGATCACCCGGTCCACATTGTCGTTGTCTTTTCATTTCAGAGGTGCAGTCGTGTTCGTTTGTATTCGCATATTCCTCCCTCGGAAAGTTTACGCTTTATGTCCATCACCCGTGTCCATATGCAAAGAGACATGCATAAGGGTTTACAAATACTGCAGCTACATGCTGTTGTAAGTGATGTGGGTACCAAGTGTAATCCGGCAATGCTGTGGAATGGTACTCCGGCAATGCTGTGGAATGGAAGGGTTGTTTCGGATTAATTGAGTCATATTTGAGGGGGTTCTTTCCGAATAAGGCCAAAACGCGCGAATCATATTTGAGGGCGTTCCTTCCGACTAAGAACAAATTGCGACTCATATTGGGGGGGGTTCCTTCCGAATAAAGCCAAAATGCGCGGATCTTTGGGGGGGGGGGAAGCATATATATATATATATATATATATATTTATATATAGGTTACTTTTTCGCATCTACAGAGCATTCACATTTTCTGCTTGCACATGCACGTCTGTACATAGTGTGGGTATGCACAAGATTCCAACAAAACCTTTGCCCTCTCAGCACTCGCATCGACTTCCACACCTTCCTGTCCCTCATGTCCAGAAAGCTCAAGGAAAGCCTGGCCTGTTTTCCGATTTCAGCTGTGAAGGTGTTCCTTAGTGGATTCGTTCAACTGCTCCAGTTGTTTGAGAGGAGACAGACACGGAAGAAGAACTCATCGAGGCGTTCAAGGCATCTACAAACTTTTGTTGTGCGTCGGGGCGCGGTTTACTTGGCGATATCCTCCCATTGCTGAAGCTTTGCGGAGATTGCCCTGCATGCAAGCTGCAGGTCTTTGACCGCGATCGCGACGGCTTCATTTCTGCTAGCGAGCTTCGAACATCCATGACGCACTGGCCCCAGCAAGCATCGGCAGTGTCTGAATGCGCATCCGTGCGCTTTCATCTGCACGTGTATTCGCATGTCCATCTCTTCGCCACTCTGATAACCTCTGTCTGGCAGCTAAGCCGTCTTGTTGAGCTTGCGTGCTCGCGGCCCTGTCTCCAGGAACTTGGGCGAAAAACTCAACGACACGGAGGCAGTAGCAAGATACTAGTGCAATCTGGTGCACATGTGGGGAACGGTTCGGCCTAGTGTACAAGCAGAGCAGAGCCATCGGCAAACCTGCAGGTGGATGAGATGATCCGGGAAGCCGATCTTGATGGGGACGGGCTCATCAACTATGATGAATTCGTCAGGATGATGATGGCAAGCCGCTTGTCTGCAACGCACACATAGCTGCAACCAACGTGCTGGATAATGTCGGGGTCGGTCAGATGGGGAGATGCACGAAGTTTGGTCGTCTGCTGTTCGTCATTTTGTTTGCATTCTGGTCAAAGCGCCGTGACTGCCTCCGAGGCAAGTGAAGTGATGGCTTCTCAGCCAATCCGGGTTGAAGTGGTGTGGTTAGGCGAAGCCTCGCACCGTTTCATGCATACCCGAGCTGCAGGTAATTCGGGGATGGGCTTACGCTCGGCATAGGCTCACCCGTTGCCCGACAGATAGCAAAACTGCGAAAACTAACTGAAGAGGCAAGATTGGTGAAGCCGCTTTGTCTCACACTCGGAAGATTTTCCGGCCTGTGTGCTCAAGCCAATTATCCGAGGCCGCTGCAGGCAGGCTCAGTCTGGAGCTAATGGAGACTTGTCCCGACGACTCTGCGGTAAACGCGACACGTCAGATCTTGCTGGCCTTCGTAAGATGTTAACATTGGAGTTGTTGGGAAGTGTTCCTGCTTTGGTGACCTTGAGTGGGCAGCTTCATGCCTTCTGGATCTTTCTTGATGATTTACTGGCCTTGTCAATTTGTCTGCCCATGCGTAGCGCAACCAAAGCACTTCATGTCAGATGCCCTGATAAGGGCACGGCAAACAAAATTGGTTTGCCCTTTTCACCTGTATCCTGATGTCAAGTGATAACTTCCCAAGCAGTCGGCAGAAGAGCAACAGATGTGGAAAGAGTTGATCCTTTGGGGTCATCGTGATGTTGACAGCATGGGATATGCACCTCTTCGACACCTAATCGAAAACATGCAGATTGTTCACTAATTCCGGTGAGAATCCTTATGCTTCGGGTGGTCATTGTCGTGACTGCTCTGAGGTTAGCCCGCACACAGGAGAGCCGCTGCTGAAACTGCCCATGAAGCATGTTCATGTGCCCTTGCTTTCAGAATATGTGTGTGGTCATCGGGGCAACTATGCAAACTGAAAAATGAGTCAGTGAAATTGCATAGCTGCATGGAGGTACGGCACCTGGAGCTCTCGCCAGCAGAGAGGGACTTCTACGACACTCTGTGGCGGAAGGCGAAGACGGAGCGCCGTCCCAAGAGGCTGCTTTGAGACTGCTCGTGCTATCCTTGCGCTAGCAGACGCTGCCGGGGCGCATTCAATTGGTGTGCCATCGGTGGGCCATGGATGTGCCGAGTTGTCATCAGCCGCCGGTGACCTGCAATAATCTTCGATGGTTTCATGCGACCGAGGTTTGACACCTTCGTGGAGAAGGGAGAGGTGCTTTCGCATTTTGCTTACAAACATCCCGCTGTCATGTTTGTCACGGTTCCAAGGCGCAGTTGAACTCGTTTAGGCGCATTCTCTGGTGCTGGTCGCGTGGTGATTGGGCCTAGGAAGTATACCCACATCCTCCAGTTGATCGGGAAGTTGCGGCAGGCTGTCTTGCCTTCGTAGCTAGCAAGCTGGCAGCGCCTGGTGTTAAATCTGTTTCGGAGGCCCTCTGCCACCCGTTCTTAGTGCTCGGAGCTCAGATTCGGAGACGTCTAGCTGGCAGTTTGCCCTGTCCACGTATGTCCATGTGACTGAAAGTGTGTCGTTTCTGATATGTGGATTTCGACAAAAGCAGATGATGGTCAGATGACAGGGCAGGGAAAAGCGTGGCACTGTGCGAGTTTCGCAAGTTTTGCACCTACGATCCTCGCAAGCCTTAAGCTCACACTACACAGCCTCTGCAGCGGACCGGCATCAATGTACGGACAAGCGAAGAGGATCAACAGTAAGGGCTGCCGAAGCTTCGCCTTACGTTATACTCGTACCAATCGACCTGTGCCAAGGTTTGCAAGGGCAGGCAGCAAGGACGAGGACATGGAGTCGTTGGAGAGGCGGGCTATGATTGTGTGGACTGTGCTCCCTGCAGAGTGGCAACCGGTCAATCAAAGAAGGAGAAGCGAAAGAACACATACAGGAAGTTGGCAGACAGTACTAAAGCTATCCACGACCCACAATGAGGAGCCGATTGCACAACAATCGGCTCAGCGGCACCTGAGCCGTGCCATGCGCTGAGTAGCTCAGACAGGGAGCATCTTAACTTAGATGGCTGCGCGACAGCCTTCGGGACCGACAGCCGAGAGTACTAGAGCCTTATGTTGTCAGCCTGACCGGATTGGTCTACCAAGATGAACCAGTGGACCAGAGGACAGAAGACCAGTTGTGTGGCCTCCTGGAACGCCAAAGATCTTGCCCCATGATAGTATTAGTGTCAGTGGAGATGGTAGCTACAAGGCCCAAGAGCTCTAATGTGTTTTGCAAATCCAAGGTCCACTTGGCTTTGGTCACGCTAGCAAGTTCTTTTTCGGAAGACATATCCTGTGGGGCCAGGCGGTACCTCGCGGAGGTCAGTGGGGAAGAAGTCTCCGAGGCCTACGTGGCAACCCTCCTCCAGGAGTCGCTTGTGCCGTGGCGCATGCAGAACCAAACCTGTGCAGTTTCCAAGTGCAGCTTCTGCGGGAAGGCCGTTGCTTTGACATGCGGAGGTGCCCCTGACTTTATGCAAAACTCTTCGTTGTGTGGCATTGTTGCCTTGGCCGCTGCTGCCAGCCGGGCTGCAAAAGTTTATGGTAATCAATACTAGGGTCGAACTATCAATCGAACGAGGCCCACCCCGACTGGCCCTCAAGAGTTTTCAGCACGAGAGGAGATTCGAAATGGGGAGCACAATGACTGTGCGATATGCACGGTCCTCATGCAACCTGACACTCGATCTAGGCATGTGCGTGCTTGTCTGCCTGTTCGTCTCTTTCTGTGATACGTTTCGAGGTTACGACACACCGCAAGATCCAACCTTGACGCTTTGCTCTCGGTTTCCGCAGGCTGTCACATCTTCCCTTCATTATCAGAGCAGCTGCCCAGGCCGTGCGGCCACATCTTCTGTCGCGAGTGTTGTTACAAGATCATCAAGCAGCAACTTGCATCTATTGGCAAATTGATGCTCGACCAGTGTGTTGCAAGGACACCGATTGTTTGTTCGTTTGGCGGAGTGTGATTCGGGCTTTGATTGAGGTGCCATGGGGAATGCCACACTCCTAGTGTCCAGAAGCGCGTCCGAAGTCTTGGAGCGAGCGTTGCGAATGTGCCAATATGTGCCTATGCATGCCCACGATGTGGGCTTTCATTGCTATCTTTCTCAGGCTGCAGCATCAGACTTGTGATGCTGTGCTGATGAAGAGCATCTGCAATCAGATCGACCACTTGCGCGCGTGAGGTCCTGTCTGCAGAAAGCCCGGCATTACCAGGAAGTCTCTAAAGGTGCTGCCCGCAGTGCTCGTGTCGTGGATGTCACTTTGATCTTAACTGGGCAGGTGCACATATGATCACAGAGAGGATTGCTCGCCTGTCTGGGCGCTTGTTTGTTTGATTGTTTTGATGTTTGGCTGCCTTCATAGTCTTTGTTCTGGGTTGTTTGTTCGTGTGTCTGTATCTGTGTACGTGTACGTATGCGAGTGCGTGTGCGTGCGTGCGTGCGTGGGTGGGTGTGCGTGGGTGGGTGTGCGTGGGTGGGTGTGTGTGTGTGTGTGTGTGTGTGTGTGTGTGTGTGTGGGTGTGTGTGTGTGTGTAAACGCCTGGACATGGCGACGGCTCAGCACTTTCGTGAAGCAAGTTTTCCTGCAGGGGGGCAAGGGCTCCAGTGACAAGCCAAGCTAAACGAAGCCAAGTCACTGGAGTGGATGCAGTGGCCGATCACCACTGTGTACCTTCTTCCGGATTAACCAGCGGGCCCCCTGTGGCACTGGACTAACCAACACTAGAGTGAGTGCCTGCATGCTTGCCCCATCTTGCCGCAATCTGGAGCCTGTTTTTTCAAACGTCGTCTCGGTCTGGGTCTGTCATCATACCTTTGCATCACTTCGAGTCAAGCCAAAATGGGTGTGTTCGTTTATTTGTTTCGGTCTTTTTGTGAGTTGTTTGGTTTTGGTTTGTTGTTTGTTGCTTGTCTGCTTGTTTGTTGTTTTGTCACTTGTTCTGCGTGCATGACCGACTGACTGATTGGCTGACTGCTGGCGAAGTCTTGTTTGTTTGTGTTTTTGGTTGCTTGCGAGTTTGCTTTGCGAGTCTGGTTGTTTGTTTTGTGACGATGAGAGCTTGTTCTTGTAAATGCATATGCATATATGTGTATATATGCACATGCATGTGTGCACCTGTTGTTGAATCTGCGGCCAGCGGCATGCTTTGCCCGTTCAGGTGTTGCCTGGGGCATCCAGCATCCCTGCGCATCTCCTTGCAAAGGCGCGGCGGCTTGGTCCAAGCTGCGCTGTCCGACCACATCCGATGCACGAACGTGCTGAAGCCGTTGAGTATCGGCGACGAAAGTCTTCGAAAGCAAGTAAACCGGTTGATAACGGTTTGTCGCTGTTTGTCTTCGGAGGCTTCGGCCTCCGAGAGCACAAGTGTCTGGGCACCCAGGAAGCAGGGCATCCTTCAAGTACTTGCTCGTAGATTTTTTTCGGTTAGTTCGCCTAGCAGCCTGCACCGGCCGCAGTGAATGAGGCGGAACCAACCGGAATCCACAGCACGAAGTGCCGCCGACTCTTTGCAGTTTGGGTGGCCTTTTTCTTGCAGAAGTGTAGATAGCTGCACTTGTTCGCGCGTCCCTGGAAATCTCGCAGACAATTTTGGAGAAGCGTGGGGCGTAGGGCTTCCGACGGGTCACCGATCGCTGTGGAGGCCAGACCGAGAGACCGCTTCCATTCGCCACTTTTCAGGGCTTCCAAGCGCAGCACTGCGAGGTCATGAAGCTTGAAGGTGCCGTAATCGCCGTAACTGGTGGTGCCAGCGGACTGGGAGAGAGCACAGTGGAGCTTTGTGTCTCGAAGGGCGCGAAAGTTGCGGCCACTCGGCATCTGTGAGCTAGGAACAGGAGTCGTCGTGCCCCCTAGCAGCAGCACTGATTGTCACCTTGTCTCAGGTGTAAGTGCGCAAGTTGATGCTTTGCTGCTTTGACTCTGTCTGCAGCCGTCAATGAAGTCGGCTCATGGAGGGCAGTGGCTCCAAATCGCCTAGCGATGGAAGCCTTGGACTTGCTCGAACCTTTCGAGCTTGATGAGTACTCGATTGGAGAGGCCCGTTGCTGAGCCTTGTAGGTAGCTGGGCCGGTGCCAGAGGTCTGTGGAATTCACTGGCTTGTGATGGCTTCATTATAATTTATTTCCATTGCAAATTGTGGGGTCGGGGGGCAAGCTAAGATGCCTGAACAAGTGATGTGAAAACTGTGCGCTGTTTGAGATTGCAAAAGTTGCTGACTAGCTCTGGCGCGGCAGAGTCTGTGTGCACAGCCGCCTGGGTAGCAGTTCACAGTGTCCAGCATTGACAGGTGAGGAATGGGTGGGAGAATTTGGAGCGCCGATGTGGAACTCCCAAAGCGGCCGCTGAAGAGTTCCTCCACAAGGTTTCTGCCGCAATCCCGAAGACGGAGCACATGCAGAAACGAGCCAGTACGGTTTGGTCGAAGCTGAATGGGCTGTTAGCATCCATGCACGACCAGTCGATGTTCACAGGCCAGCTGGAGTACCTTGCCCTGCGGCACATGAATCAGGACATCAGTGCTGCCGAGATAGAGACTTTCAAGGGGCTCCTGCTTGAATTCTGTGCCTCCAAGTTGGGTGGCATGATGACTCCGGAGTTCCAGTACGGCGTCTCGCGGTTTGTAGAGGCAGTGGGTGCATCATATCAGCACACGCGCGACTTCTACAAGGCAAACCTGAAGATCCTCGAAGCGAGCTGGGTGGTCGTTCAGGAAAATTCCAAGGAAGCCGAGGCCGATGCCGAGGGAGGTCTAGCTGAAGAGGAGGGAGAGGAGGGCCAAATGGAAGCACAGGAGACCGAAAAGAACGAGGAGCAGGCCACCACTCCAGAGAAAAAGAAAAGCGGGGAACGCGCGAGTAACGAGGCAAACAAGACCATGAAAGAGGGAACCATGGCCAATGCCCAGAACATGAATGTGCCAACTAGTTTTGGTGAGATGGCACGATTTAATGCTTCGGTCATGGGTGTGGGTGACCGGCCGTGGCTGTCAGAGATGATCACCGCCCTTGACAGCCTCGTGCCCAATGTCGGGAACATTGATCGGCTGCAGGAGGAGTGCGATGTGCTCTCGCTCCTTCTTTGGCGCCATTCACGCCACGAGCAGCTCGACCTGCCCGGCTTCAAGTCCGTCATGTTCGCATCCCTACGGCCTCCTGCCTGGGTTTGAGCTATCAGATGTGTTTTTGCCCGTAGCCTGTCTGGCTGTGCCGTTTTTGCTTCAACCAAGGTCCATGCTGCAGGCCCGGGAGAACTGGGGGATCCACGCGAGAGAACCGTTCACCTTGGCAGCTGCTCTCGGAAACTTCTTTGTAACATAAGATTTTGCAGGATACTGGCCCCCATAAGTGCCCTTGACTTGATGAAGTCGGTGAGGCAGGCTCGCAAAGCATCAGCTTTCTCAGGAGTGTCGTAGCGGGCACTATCTGTGCATTCTTGAGGGCCAGAAGACAGGTGATCCGCAAAGCCGGATAAGCACACGTGGCACACGACTCCGGCTGCAAGGATATCTCTAAACTCTTGTGTACTCTATTCTACGCTCTGTACATGTTGTTTGTTAGCGGGTCAGGAAGACGGGTAGTATAGTTTCAGGAGTTCTGTTTGTAAACTGACTCGGCTTGGTTTGGTTTGTATCATGTTAATGTGCACCTCGAAGCTCTTAAGAATACTGCAACATATGCATGCATGCATGGATGTATGTATGTATGTATGTATGTTTTCGTGTATGTATGCATGCGTGTGTGTATCTATGTATGTATTTAGGCAGGTATGTATATGTGTGATTGTGTATGCCTGGTTACGTACGTATGCTTGTGTATGTATGGCTATGCGTGTGTATAGCTGGAATCACGTACGTATGCTTTTAGTTACGTATGATTGGTCATGCATTATTGAAATTATGTATCCATGGTTGATGATGCATGAATGTACGTGTGTATGCATGTGCGTGCGTTTGTATGTGCGTATGCACGTGTGTATGTACCTAACTCTGTATGTGTGCTTTTGTGGATGTATATATCAAGGCTTTCGTCGTGTCGGTCGCGCGTTTGGATGGCGGGGTCGGTGTGGGGCTCATAACCTCAGTGTTGCTGAGGTTATGAGCCTAAGTCTTCTTCCTCCAACATCGCACAGTGCTTGTCCTCACGCTTCCGCTTGTAGACATCATCAACTTGTGCAGTCTCCATGGTCGATTCCGCTCGAGCTGTGGAAGCCCTTCAGAGAAGATAGTGTCCATGCCGGCGGACGCTTTTCTTTCCTGGCTTGCAGTGCTGCTGGCCCTGCTGGCCTGTGGTTCTGCTTCGTCATGACGAGTCCAGTGGCTGGTTGAACTCGCTGATGCCTTCACAGTGATTTGAATACGACCTCCAACCAAGTCGGATGAATATTTCAAGTCTGACCAAGTTGATCCGATGCAATTATCTTCGGTAGACGAATCTGACGAAGTTGATCCGATGCAGGTTTGGCAAAAATATAGACCAAACATGATCAATTTCAAAATGAATTCGCCAATCTTGTCACAACGGTTCGAATTTGTCTTGCAATCTGGAAATCGCTGTCTGAAAACACCACTTTTTCGAGACCTCGGTTTGACTCCAAAAGCCGCGCTTCCCCTGCGGCGAATCACTTGCTTGTGCAAAAATGCAGCGCGGCAGTTTCCGATCCGTGCGGATGCGTAAGCGGATGTTTATTTATATGGACATGTATATGGCTTTCCTGAGGGGCCTGAGGGGCTTTAGCCTCATGCGTTGCCTGGCGCTGCTAGACCCTCTGGATGCAACGGCGGAGAGAGAGAGAGATGTATAAGCAACATGCTTATGCATATGTAAACGTATTTGTTTACGTATTTGTTTATGTATGTGTACATGCATGTGCTAAAAATGATGTCTATTCATATATGTAGGGATAATATGTATGTATATATGTATATTGATGAACAGAAAGCGTCGTCCGACGCACTCTCTCTCTCTCTCTCTCGCTCTCCATTTTCGTCACTTGCACTCTCTCTCGTCCTGTCTCTCATTCTCTCTCTCTTTTTTCCCCTCCCTCCCTTTAAGTCTCGCTCTCTCTCTCTCTCTCTCTCTCTCTCTCTCCGTTTTTCACACCGCGGCTCTCTGCCTGTCTATTTAGCTACCTGTTCATCCACCTACCTCCCTTTTTGCCTACCTACCTACCTACCTACCTACCTACCAGCTATCTATCTATGTATCTAGCCAGCTATTTTGTTTTGCTGCGCCGCTCGCCTCGGCTTGCCGGAGACCAGCACTGTGACAGAACTCGTCGACTTGCCTCTGTAATGTGGAAGAGCAGAGCGGATGCAGAAGGTGGGAAGGGAGCGGGGGGTAGGGAGGGCGGGCCCCGCGGCCAAGCAAAAGGCAGGGGGGTGAAGGGGACGGGATGAGGGGGAGAGGGATGAGGAGGGGGGAAGGGGCAAAAAACATCAGAAAAAGGGTGGCTGGGGGGGGGAAGGAGGGAAGAAGCAGGTAAAATGAAAAGGAGGGTGGGAAATGAACGCAAACAGCGGGTTGGTGGTTGTTGGAACTCTTCTCGAACGCATAGCTGTCCATATGTCATGAGTATGAATGAACGCTGCAAGCTTTTCTGCAGGCCAAGTGGAGCATGAAGTATGAAAATGCTTGGAGCTGGTTCTGGTCGTGTATCGAGAAGATGCTGGATGCCAACAAGCAGCTGCCGGGCATGTACTACAACCACTTGAAAAGCTTCACAGAGTCCCTTGATGAGGATACCGCGGCGGACTTCAAGCTAGAGGTTTTTGAAACACTCTTCGCCACCTGTGTCCAGACGCAAGACTACCTCAAGGCGTCCAACGCTCGATTGCAGTACATCATGGGGCGCATTCTTCGTGTGATGGGGGACATCTTCACGAAAACGAAGACTGCCGTCCGAGACATTTCTGCCCTAGGGCTTCTCCATGCAGGATACGGAGTCCCAGAGGACCTGACCGTCCCTTTCACCGAGGCCATCATGATGACCGTTAAGAAGTTCAACAGCAACGAATCCATTGTCCCTGGGGTCCAGTGGTGCCTTCACCTTGCGGCCAGGCTTGAGTTAGTCGGCATCGCATCCTGCAGGTTGGTGTCGGGGTGTAGGCATAGTGGCATAGTGGTCCCTCGCAGTGTTTGTTTTCCAGCGCGTCTCGTCCGAGGTGGGGAGGATCCTCACCCGCACCCTGGCGGAAGGCTCCACAGCCGTGATGCAGTCCATCAACAAGAACTCGGCAAAGGAACTGCAGAAAGCGGTGGCACCTGCACCGAGAGGGAAGCGAGAGCAACTTCTGCTGCGAGTGCAAGCCCCTCGCCCTAAACTGACGGAAGGGTTGTTCTTACGAAGTAGGAGACCACAAAAACCTGATAGAGAGACTCTGACACGCGACTTAGCATTGCAGCATCTGCGATCGGGTTTTGCATTCCTGTTAGCTGCAAGCAGAAGTGACAGCACGGCATGCTATCGGGATCCAGTGAAGATCTAAGGTTGGCACGGAGTCCATCTCCCCACTTGTCTGGGCCATAGAGACAGGTGCACTAAGGTCCGCACAGGCCATTCTTGAGGAGCTGCTCACGATCCGCGCTGACCGATCGTCGTATTACTACAGCATGAAGGGCCTCTTCGGGCGGCACCCGGACATCATCCAGCTGCTGTGTCGGCAGGCACCTACGCTTCTGAGTCACCTTCTGGATGGCGACTCCACCGCAAGCAGATCATTCTGTATCACCTCGGTATGCTGCATCTCTGGCTAGGAGGGTTCAGTTTTGGCCCGTGCTTGTGCTTGTTGCGCAGGTCTGGTTTGGAAATCCAAGAAGGTCAAAGGAGGCGCACGTCGCGTCAACTACTACATCGGGTCTTTGTCTCGAGGCAGCAAAGAGGGACAGCAGCCGCGGGCCTTATAAGCTTCCGTGTAACACTCGCAACGCTGGCTTGTGAAACGCAAGCATAGCGAACGCTGAGTTGCCCAGGTTGGTCGATGAAAACGGCAAGTTGACTCCTTCTTTGCATACGCTGATTCAGCACAGTGATCCTGAAATCGTTTGCCACTCCTGCCCAGCCTTTGCGGCGGATCTGCTGTGGAATCGAATGTGCGGCTTTGCATTCGTCGGCACGAAGATGTGGTTCATCCTCACCCTAGCCAACTTCATCGTTGGATTACAGTATGGTATCCTGTCCAACGATCCTCAAGGCAATTCTCGTTGGGCCTTAATTGGCTGCCGAGCCCCTCGGCTAATGCAAACATGTGAGGCGTCTTGGCATGTACGCTAGTATACGTGGATCCCGAACGCATCCTAAGGCATTCATGTATGTCTTCAGCTTGGGACAGCTTTTCGCCAAGCACATGTACCAGATCCTTCGAGCTTGCGCAAGCGGCAAGACCTCGCCGTGCCTCTGCTGCTGCAGAGTGCCCACCTATTTGCTCGTTTCAAGGCAAGAATTCATCGAGTTTGTTCTTGTGCTCTTCTTGCTGACCATGTTGGGCATGGAGCCCTTTCTGCATTGCTTGCAAGTCAGCGACCAGTGGCTGACAAGCTGTTGTGCATTTGGGCAGTTCTTCTGTGACCTGTCGGTTTGGTACGATCGAGTCTCCTGCATCCCCATGCTCTTGTACTTCGTTTTGGCCTTTGAGTTAGTCCACTTCAACATCCACTTGAGCTGCTTTGCCGTGATCTGCACGCGATTTTGGTGGGAATTCGTCGTCTACATGGGGGCCCTACTTTTCTTGGCGACAGCGTTTGCTTCCGCGATTGCTTGCTTGCCACAATCTGGGCTTGAAGAAGGCATTCAGATGAGGGACTTCTACAACTGGCCTGCGGGATTTCAGGCCCTGCTCTCCATGGGGCTCAATGTGTACGGTGCAAACAACTACGCGGAAATTGCGCTTGAGAACGAGCCACTCCTAAAGTGGTTTGTGATCGCCTTCGCTTCCTTCTGGCATGTGTACTTCATGAACCTTAGCTGCAAGAGTTCCCCGAAGCAGGTTAGCATGGCCTGTTAGGGTTGACGCCAGCTCACCCAAGACCGAGGAACTTGATGGTTGCACAACTTTGCCAGCGATACATAGCGATCTCCAAGGATGCTCTGGGCTATGCACGGCTGACCCGAGGCACTATCATCTTCGAGAGTGCAATGCCCATGATTTCCACAAAGCGATGGACGAGGTTTGTCAATTCGTTGCGCCTTGATGAGCCGTGTGAGCTTGACGAAGGTGACGTGGGCCCCAAGGGAGGTGTTGCAACCTCCGAGGGACAGTATGACTACTTGAACCACCCATCCATCCAACTAGATAGAGTCCAGCGCTATGGTGGCCTGGCATCCCCCCAGCTACCATGGCCTCCAACTGCAGAGGAGGATGACAGTGCTGTTGCCCTGCTGCAGAGGAGCACAGACAAGAGGTTTGATGAGATCGAGAGACTGGTCTTCGACATAGCTGTCAAACTCGGAGTTCGAAACCAGCAGGGTGCTCTTGCATCCATGATGGGAGGATCCGCACTGCATGGTTCTCAGAGCCATCAAAGTGGAGTGAGCCAGGGTTCTGGCAACAAATCCGCTGCGGACGATAACCTGGGGAACTCACCCTACAGTGTTGGAATGCAAGGTGCGGCGGAGGAGGAGATGGAGGAGGACAGCGCAAACTCGCCTGATGCAAGTCCCACGGCAGCTGCCCCAACCCCGGCTGCTCCCGCAGCTCAAAAACCTCAAACTAAAGCGAAAGAAGGCCAATCAGTTGTCGGCGTGTGAAACCGCCGTGGCACCTCAGCATGGAATGGATGCTGTCAACGTGTGTCAAATTCCGTCTCACCAACTTGTGCGTCCATGCGCAATGACATGCGATTGCAGCAGGTTGATCAGAGGCTTTGGACAAGTGATCCTGCCAATGTTTCACAAGAAGACCGGTCATTGGAGCGGCTCGAGACTGCTATGCATTTTTCTCAACGGTCTGTTGATTTCCCTGTATTCCGATATACGAGCAACAATTCGTGCAAAGGCCCGTCACTTTCGAACTTGAACTGAGCGTGGCCCTGTTTCCAACGTCTCGCAGCGATCGCAGCCGAGCGCCCGCCAAAACTCTTCAGCTGGACGGCATGAACTGAAGCACACAGGCATTTCAAGGTCAGGCCATTTCCCGCGCTGCCCAAGGTCTTGGACATGAACAAGGAGAAAGGTGATGCCGTCGTTGAGAAAGTTGGTGCGTCGAACGCTTTGTTTGTGGAATGACGCTTGACAGGCTTAGCTGGTTTGCTAGGAGTGCATGTTTGCTTCGACCCCTCTATCTGAAATCGCGCTGATGCAGGCTACAGTCCCAAGTCGTGTAGTCTGCCTGCACTTTACCTTGCTGGTATTTCCATGACCGGACCGCAGCATCCAGGTAACATTCTGGATGAGAAGTCAGTGGAAGACTGCATGAAAGCCATCAAGGAGAAGTTCGGAAAGTTGAGCGGCGTCGTCAGCTGCGCAGGTCAGAGGGCACTGACTGGGCAGTCGTTCTTTTGCATCTTTTGCGTGTTATTGCTTCACGTTACCACGATCATACTGGAGCCCTGTTCTGAAGGAGGTCAAACTCTTGGCAAAAGCCTCAGATGAAGGAAGGTTCCTCATGCATTGCGTCGTTGAACGTTGTCGACGTGTCGCGGAGGGCTCAAAATCGTCTGGCGTTAGGCACGGGCCTCACGCTGGACAAGAAGGGCAACCCTCATGCACTGTCTCCCTTCAAGAAGACCGTTGAGCTGAACATTCTTGGCACTTTCCTCATCGCCAGCAAGGCCAATGTGCACGGCAGAAGTGTCCAAGACGAAGTAACTACCACTTCCTCAGCTCAAGCTCAATAGAGATTCGATTTCAATAGCGACCTGGCAGCCTACATGTCATTAGGGCTCGCAGCCTGCCTGCATGGGGCATTGACAGTTTGCGTAGAAGCCGAGCGGAAGCCACGTACTGAATTCTGCCGAAACAGCAATACCTTGGAAGGTCGTTTTGATGCACCCACTAGAAAGCCTTACCAACTGCAGCATTCCAACACTCTGCAGAGCTTCGGCGGGGATCTTCGAGATTACCATACCCTTTGCCACTGCGGCCACGAGGCAGCGGCTCTGATAGCAGAGAATGCGCCAGAGGACGAGGATGGAGAGCGAGGCGCGGACGGCACTGGGCAATGCGTCGTTCCGTGTGAGTTGGACGTGCTTTCCAAGATGGTATGGTATGTATCCTGTGTTCCAGCTGATGATGGCATAGAGCCTGGCTTCAAATGTATTCTGTGTAAACCAGAAAGCCCAGGTTGCATCATAAATGCGACCTAGCTGCACCGGGTGTTGTGTGTCCATGTGTGTCCGTGATCCGAAGCGACGGGTTCTTCGTTGCATGATTGCACACCATCGTTGCATTTCATACAAGTCAAAGAGACAATGCCGCAACAGTACAGATCATTCGTAGATACGGGTAGCCATGTTGATAGGCGGTCTCGTGCGCTCTGCAAAGCGAGCCAGGGCTGGAGCGTCCCCTGACCCTGAGGGTTGTTCTATGTTCTTGCTGGCAGCGGGATTCTTCTCGGCACCTCCCCAAATGCGAGCTGAGACTGCTCAAGGTCGCTAGCGTTGCGGCGCAAGATGGCAAGATGCTCAAGATTTCGACCATTTCGCACAAGTTAGTCAGCTGCAGGCACACACGGCTTAGGTCAAAACGGACAAATCGCCTATGCAGCAGGCGGCTTGTCGCCATCTTGGTGAAAAAAGGGTCCGACACCGCGGCTGTTCTGGCCGACGAGATGACATGAGCTGCAATTCAGTGCGGGATCTAAGGCAAGGGCGGCATCGTCTCCATGACGCTCCCTATGGCCCGCGATCTGGGGAAGCGTGGAATCCGCGTGAACTGCATACTGCCGGGTGTGTTCGATACCCCGATGACAGCACCTTTGAGACTTGCCTGGAATTGGGTGGCCGTTGACCGTATGTGACAGTACTTACTTACGCTTGCCGCTTGCTTTTTGAAGTCCCGCAGCTCACTGGCAACTTCTACAATCTGGCAACTGCTTTTCATAATCTTTGCCGAGGGTATTCGGATAGGAAGCATGCAGCATAAGCTTGATGCAGGCCAGCATGTAGCAGACTCAATGGCCCACTGAGTTGGACTTGCAAAGCCGAGGAAACAGTTCAAGCCAGCAGTGTACAAGAATCTTGCTGAGTGGCCCGTCTACAGCTTGGCTTGACTTGGCATCATTGTAAAAGCATGGGCCATCTGGCTGCAGCTGCACAGCCCGCATGACCACAGCTGAGCTTCGTGGCTAGGACGCACGTCTTTCCGAACACGCGCCTGGGCCAGCCAGAGGAGTTTGCTCAGATGGCCGTGGCGATTCTTGAAAACAAGATCCTTGGCTGAAGCTCAAGGGCAGTGGATGAGAGTGGTCCTGTTTATGCGGCTCCAAGTACCGATCCCGCCGAATCCCCACAAGCTCTCCCGAGGTTTGTGAATGGTGAGTCCATACGCGTGGACGGCGGAATTCGAATGAGCAAGCTTTGAGTCTCTGAGCGGGCGGTGTTGCACTTGGCCACCCGTCCATATTTAAGTGGACAAAAGCTCCGAGCAATAGCGAGGAACAAACACTTCTAGGACTCCGACAGAGGACTTGTGCAAAGCCGTTTGAGTTCAGGAACTCACTTGACATCCCTATGGCATTGCCTCTGAACGGGCCTCTACTCGTGCCAGGATGAAAGAGCTGCTGAAGTTGCTGCACACGGACATGGCCGAAGGCCATCGTGCAGTGGCCAGTCGCCCAGATCTGCAGCGCGGGCTCATGAGCTGCGTCGGGTGAAGGGCAGGCTCTGGGCTACTAGGTAGAGTGCCACGCAGGAATCAAAGCTCAAATCACGCCGTAGCAGAGCGCAGGAGGCGGAGCCGCATCTTAATGAGAGGCATGATAGGGGCCAGCTTCGAGCGCGAAGGATCGGGTATGTACTTGGAGGGTCGGAGGACTTAGTAACTGGTTACTTTATAGACTTATAAGTATCATAATCCCAATTAGGGTCCCTTTTAGGGTACTTATAAGTCTACTTACTACCTATTTACTAAGTCCCCCGACCCTCCAAGTACTATGTACTTGGTGTATAACAGCCGGCACAGGGAAGCTGCAGCCATTAAAGCGGCTGTTGAAGAAAGTGAAGAGGCAATCTCTTATGTGGACATTGCTGGCCAAGATGAGTTCCACAGGCAAAGAACCGCGGAACAGATTCTTGGCGAAAGCCTTAGATTAGGATCTCATCCAAACTCTCAGCGGAGAGCTGCGAGTACTCACCTTACGAAAATCCTGGTCGACTGCCCATGTTGGTTTTGCACACCAGATGGCATTGCGGGACCAGTGCAAACGAGCCCAGAGTCGGGTGGGACGGATTTGGGGCTCCTGCTCCGAGAGGCGGCCTACCATCGCAGCCTGCATCGCTCGAACGTTCGGGAACTTCAATCAGGACTCGAGTCCTTGACGCTCCGTGCGTCCGCTGACTTGGAGGACATGTGTGTCCGAGCGGCAGCATTGCTTGAGCTCCACGGCGCAGCCGTGCTGGCCAACTTCCTGGGGCCAGCACGCGCGATGGAGCTAGCAGATACTGACTTTGGAAATCCATTGCCTGCATGCCCAGGTCCGGGCGGAGTGCAGTCCCCAGGGACAGGACGCGGGGACTGGGCGGTTTTGCCAGACGAGGAACCGACGGAGTTCTTGTCTAAACTGGATGCCTTTATTTCAGGCTTGCGGCCTCTGACGGGAGGTAAGATGGACACATGTGAGTTCCGCACTTGGCCAATGGTAACGGTTTACGAGCCAGGCAGCAGATACACTTGGCATCTGGACAACGGCAAAGGCAGAAACGGGCGCTTGCTGACCTGCATCTACTATCTGAACAGAGACTGGGATCTTGAATCTGGTGGCGAACTTCGTTTGTTAAAGCAGGAGGACAATGAAATGCTTCAGGTCTTGGCAGAGGTGCCACCAGCATTGGACACACTGGTGCTGTTTTGGTCCGAAAGCATTCCCCACGAAGTGCTGCCCCCATGGGTTAGACTTCGGCATGCTCTGTCAGTCTGGTATCTATGCCCCTGTCGTGGGCTGGAGCACTTCTCTGCTGGGAATGCCGAGGCTGCCTTTGGCCATTCCGTTCCGTCAGCTGTAAAGAAAATCCGCTCCACGCTTGGAGCGCTCGGCGGCGAAGCTGCGGCAACGAAGGAGATCTTGGACCAGTTGTCGAGCCTGCATTCACCCGAGCCACAGCCATGGTGCACGTAAGTAAAGCCTGCCCACCTCAAGGGGGATGGAAGCGTGTGCCTGTGCTTGCCCAAGTGTCTGACAACCAGAAGCTCTCGCTGTTTGATGCGCTCAAGTTGTACGTCCTTTCGACACATGTCAACGGGCCAGCATATGAAAGTCATGTCATGTTCTCCAGAAGAGCCTGGAATCAGCATGTGTCCATGCCAGAGATTGCTTCACGTCACTTCACTCCGGGGCCGTATGCTTAACATTTCAGAGTGACCCGCTCAGTCTTGGACCAACTCTAAACTCTAACCGACCTAGCCTATCGTGACATGTATCCCAGGCCGAACAGGATCAACCTTCGGGCACACCTTCCGCTTTAGTCCGCTCAATGTCGGCCCGCCGCTCTTGGGCGGACATGAGACCGGGAAGCCCGGTGGCTTCTTCGCATGTTGAACGGTTGGAACCCTCCTGGCTGCCCAGCTTAGGGAAGTGTGCCGTCTCCTTCAGTGTGTCTTCTGCCATAAGGTTTGCCAGGTCGCAGCTTTCCTATTCTGGCTACCCCACCGAGTTTGGGGCCAAGGCCCTGCGGTTATGCGCTCCGGGCTGCCAACACACGTCCGTGATGCAATTGGAATTTTGGGCCCTGCAGGCTTCGGCGGCTACACGCCCCCTGCGCCCAACTGCCCGGCTTTCAGCTGCCCATCGGGCCAGCTGCCGGTGGGCAAGGAGGATATCGAAATCGTGACTTGCCTTGCAACTGTGCTTCTGGGTCCACAGAGATCTGATCGACTGGTCGAGGTGCTTCCTCAAACTCTGGCGATACTCATGCTGTAGCAAGAAGTCTAGCATAGAAGGAAAGAAGGAGTTTGAGTACGGCCATAAATTCGATCAAAGATAACTTTGGAACCTGGCCGGGTCAGGGCACGGCACTGCCGCTTTTAGAAGGGTGTGTGTGCTGTGTCACCGATGAATCTATGTGTGTGAAAGGGACGTAACATCCGCATCAGCTGGACATGGGACGGCAACTTGCTGCAACACCGCGTGTGAAATCTACACTTTCAGCCGTTTGTCCGTAGGGCCGCTCGTGGCTCACTGTCTCAGAGTGCACGATCATGCCCAGCTTTGGCAAAATCCAGACCACAGATGGCTCAGGTTAGTTATGGATGCAAGGAGGCGGGTCTCAACGTCTTGAGCATGAAGCTCGGAATGCATCGGGTGCATCTTTAGGGGTTCGACCTCATCGGCTGCCCATCTGTGGCAGAAACAAGCAGAAACCGTTACTACTACTAAACTGGGGATGGAATGATATCATCAACTTGGTGGCGTGTTGCTCCAAGGCTCTAGCAAGGCTTCTTTTTCTGCAGATACTCCTGGTTGTACAGCGCCTGATGTCAGGAAAGACTTTGATCCCTCCAACCCCTACGCTGGCATGAACCAGATGGGCAAAAACTTGAACAAGTGCTGCAGCCCGGCTATCAGAACAGGAGATCCCAATTTGAAGACCAGGAACTCGACTTCTGACTCGACTGGTCTGGTGAGGTCTCGAGCGAGACATTTGCAAGCAAACTTGTGGGATGAGCTCAAAGGAGTGCCACGACAGCTACCAGTGGCCCGGCTTGCAAGCGGAATGGCGCTCTTTGCCGCCAGTGTTGGGCAGCTGCTTCCCAGGAAACAGAGGAGGGGCTTGCTCTTCGGCCCGAGCGGGCGTTTGTTGATGGGCGGGAGGGAGCGTTTGGAGCCAAGGAAGTGTCAGCAGAAGCGGCTTGGCCAGCTTTCACATCTTGTGATTTCAATGTTCGGCTGTTCCTGCATAGGCCTGCAGGGCAGTCTGTTCGCCGTGGATTTGTTTGGAGAATTCACTAGCTCAGGTACACGTTCATATTCGGATTGGCTTACTGAACTGCTTCAGCCGAGGGTCTGCAAAGGCGATCAGAATTGCCAGCTTCAGGCCGGGGAGGTTGAGAGACCGCGGAATGGGTTCAGCATGTCCCAACCAGGCAGATCCACCCATCCAAATGACAGGTCTCAAGCAGCACAGTCAACCTTCTGTGCATCGGTTTCGGTTTGAACTCTCATGTTCTCCTACATGGTAGCTTTCACTGGCACCAGTCTCCAGCTGAACTATCAGTGATTCTTGCGGTGCTTGGACTGCTGACACACGTCGGGTATCGCTTTGGAAGCCAGTGTAAAGGGAGTTTTGACAGCGGTCCTTCCTCAAGTCCCAGGTTATCTTCCAGCAGCGTGTTAGGGGTCATGGCACCATGCATCACCGCATAGTAGCGCCACAACAGTTTCGCGGAGGGTCATCGCGGTTTGATAGTTTGTCGATGGAGCAACCAGCTTCAAAGTCAGGTGCGCAGTGGAGTGACATCCTTTCGCACTTGGTCCGTGCGAGACGACGAGGGATTCTTCGGTAACTTGCAGAAACCTTGAGTATGAGAACGCGCTGCCAAACAGAGGGACGGCCCTCCACTCGACATAGCTAGAGTTCAGACTGTTGAAGGAGCGATTAGTCAGCTCGCGAGAACCCTGCTCAGTGAAGACTGGTCATCTGGACCTTCGATATACACGCCTTTGAAAAGATGCTGGGCCAAGCCCTGCTCTTCATTTGGTTGGCTGGCAGGCCATGGTAGCAGACTTTTCCGGAGATCCTTACGACACTGACAAGGTGGCGGTCGCGTGCTCCACAGTGGTAAGCAACAAACTGATCACATGTGGTTGCGATTTCATTGGCTTCTGAGTAAACCGTGCGTGCAGCCTAAGGGGTCTAAGGAAGCTTCAGGTTGAGAGAAGATGCGGAGTGGTTTCGACGTTGTTTACGCGAGGTTACACTTTGCTGTTAAGTACCTGAATGTCGAGCTCGCCACTGCAGACTGCAGAGGCTGAAAAATTCGATGACAAGAAGTACGACCCTATGGAGCCTCTGTCTTAGTCCATGCTCAGCCTTCCAGTCCCATGGCCGAGATGCCAAGTTGCTTTCATGCAGCGGCAAGCTGCGAGGGTTAAGCAGAGGAGTCGCCTTGCAGAGCTTCGAGATCATAAAGGAGCATCCCAGCCTGAGCGGAGTGTTCAGGTCCAAGTGCCGGTCGTACTCCGCAGCACAATCAGCGGTGTGCCAATGCATTCCACGTGAAGAGGTCAATGCCCAAGCACCTCACAAGCTGCGGCGCGTGAAATCATTTGTTGTTGCCGACCTCTTGTATGAGGCACAGGCTGCCAATGCCAGGAAGCTTCAGGACGCCGCAATTGCCGGTCATGCGATTTGTTCTGTGCAAACCCATTTGCCTCGTGTATGCATAAGTACATACATACGTACATACGTGGCACTCGCCTTTTGCAGCGCCGAAGGCCTTCTACAAGAAGTTCAACCCGGAGAAGCTGAGCGACAGTGGTTCCCTGTCTGGCAAATGTTACCCTAAAACAGAGGACTAACCCTAAAAACTTGAATGCCGAGAGACCTCGTCTGGCACGTCCGAGTGCGAGAGCGAAAAGACCCGTGGATTGTCCGAGTTGTGAGAGTGTAAAGACTCGTGTAGTTGGGACCTCTCGCCTGAATCCGTGCCTGCCTTGTGCGAGTGGGCGCGAAAGACCTGGTCGAGTGCGAGTGCTCAACAAAATTCCTAAAGCCCAAACGACCTCTTGTCAATTCGTCTCGTGTACATGAAGTATGCGACTTTGCTGATGCCAAGATAGCTCCCACCCAGTGGAAAGCTGCTTCCCGACCCCTCTGCGAGTTGGAAACGCGTGTTCCAAAAAGGCAAGAGCTAAGTTCGCCTGGTATTGATCGCGAAAGCCTGGTCTGTTTTGGGAAAAGGCAACTCCATAGTTTTCATGTTTCTATGTTCTCGTCGAGGTCTGCATCAGGATAGAGTCAAAGGCAGCTAGCTTGTGGAGAGATCCTCTCGTCTAGTTATGAAGCGGTTTCGTCTTGTGCCGCAACATATGAATATAGGGGCCTTGACATATTATACTTTCGTTATAGTAAGATGCCCTCGAAGCGTCTTGAGACCCGCGGAGTCGATCTTCTGGTGTGCCACGCCGGTGCCACAAAAGCAGCCTGAGCCCGCATGGGTGGCTTAAAGAGAGAGTTTTTGGAGTATGTATACGGTATACGATACACACATGTGTACGTGTGTGCGTGTATGTTTACATTTATGTAACGAGCTATCTGTGATATGTGGTCCCGATTCCTCAGGCCACGGTAAGGAATTCTAGTTGTCACGTCCGCTGATGGGTGCCAGGTATGACCGACCGAAATGCTCTTGGAGTGTAGCCGCAGGGCGTGTGGGAAGAGCGTCCTGGGACTGAACCTAGAGTTGCTAGTTGAATCGACGTGCAACACTCCATGTCGGAGTTCGTGGCAAACATCCGTTTGCTTTCCTCCGCGGTTCAGTCGGCCAAAAAGCGCACGTTCTCCGACGGGTTTTGCAGGGACTAGACTGACAGCAGGACCGAGAAGTGCCGTAGCGACGAATGCCACCTGCGAGCATTTTGCATGGAAGCCGAGGTGAAATCAAGGATGTGGACGAGGTTTGGAAGAAATGGAAGGGAAAGGACTGGATAGTCGAATAGTCATGAGCCTGTACAATTGCTGCACCTGGGAAGCAACAACCTGGCCCCACCCCGCCTGGCTCGGCAGGAAGCCTCCATGTTCATGGCACTGGCCACCAAGTACAAAGACAAGGTCCAATCCAACGCCACCTTTGCGTCTGCAACTGCTCACCTGCCCGACGAAGCTACAGCTACACACAGGCCGTCAGGATCAAGGAGAAGCCGAAGCCGCCTCCATACGAGCCTCCCTCAACATCAAAGGCACGGCAGCTTCCACAGTACCTTCAAATTGTGCCACCTGTTGATACCTGTTGAAAGCTTCAAGTCCCATCTAATCTCTCTCCGCGCCGCAGCCACTGCAGCTCGCGGAAACGTACCGCATTAGGCTCCCACACTGGTGGCGTTGTAGAAGACATGCCTCCTCAGTTTTCCCAGTTCAAGATCCTTCATCCTCGATTTGCTGTCGGTAGTTATTAATATTACAGGAGATTAAAGCGCTGACGACGATTCATCATACCCGCACAGAGCACCCACCCAGTCAACCCAAGCGACATGCTCGCCACCTTGGAGCAGAAAGACGATGGCCCAAACGTCAACAATCAACAGCAAGCAACCTACATTCATGTGTAGAGCAGATGAGTTGCACCTACCAGTGGGTGCATGAAATAGCTGCTCGCTTGCAACAGGGTCAAAGGCAAAAACTTTTGCAGGCACGTGCTCAAAAAGGTTGACGTTGCCGACGAAGAGCGTATGTCAACTCAAGGACCATGGCGGCAGCAGCAGCAGCGGCGGTCAAGCGACGTCAGGAAGTCGAAGCGGCCATTGCCGAAGGGAATATCCCTGCCATTGGCACGCGGATAGAAAGCTTCGCTCAGAAAGAAGCACTTCAGCATTCAGAATGGGCTTGCTGGCATTGTCCCCTGCATTGTCCCCTGCATGGTTGCACTGCAAGCTGCTTAGCCACCATGCTCCGCGCTTCAGCCTAGGACCCGCTACCGCCAGCTGACCAAACTGGAATATGGCGACACCAGCGCAAGGCCTGCTTCGTGCTGCATTTCACAAGCCGGCTTCTGACTTTCGGTACAATTACAATGCTCGTTGCCGTGGGCGTGTTGGGCGAACAAGTCGAGGCTCTGTGTCATTGCCGTGAGTCTGTCGGCTGCTTGCGGGAGCGAGGTTTCGTAAGAGACGGCCAGGTCGCGACAGCGTATTTGAACATCAAGTCGCAGATGACAGTTGCTGCGTTCATATGTGGAAACTTCATGATCAACATCACAGAGCCATCTGGCAGCAGTTAAAACAGCATGCGCAGGAAGCAACTTCCAAGCTGATCAGGATCTGAGCTTGGGTGTTCCAGAACTTGCAATCCTGTCTTGAGTTCGGCCGAATTTCCCTGCAGAGCGACTCTGTCAGCTGGGCGAGTGGGAAAAAAGGAAGCAACACATCTAGTATGTGATCGCGCGAGGCAGCGACACGGCTAGCTGCTCAGAACTTGCTCGGAACCAATTGAGCACCATCAGAGCCTCAGAGAGCCAATCGAGAGAGACGGAGCAAGCCTTGGGACATCAGAGGGCAAAAGCACACGCAGCAAGAGGGACAAACGATGAGATCAAGGACCTCAAGCAGACCGAGAACGCAGAGGACTCGTAGCACAAAGGCAAAGGCCAGCGCTTCCAAGGCATTGAGCCGCAACAAGTTGGGGCAGCACCTGCGGTGCCGAGCCCACACCGCCGACGTCGTCAAGGGAACTGAGCCATCCGCAAGCGTTCAATCAATGGCCCTCAGGGCTTTGGATGACCACAGCCAGACCCAGCGCCAGGGAGGACCAACACTCGTGATCGTGAACCCCAAACCCCTACCAGTAGCAAGCAAGCAAGCAAGCGAGCGAAAGAGACTCACGCCCAGCTGCTTTTGGAAAAACGAGAGGTTCGGAAGGGTGCGAGTGAGGTGTTTGTGTTTGTCTGTGTGCGCCTGGACACAGAGGACCTGCAAGTAGTCGCAAAACTGTCTCTTTTGTTTGAAGGCATGCTGGGATATGCGGTGTGACACCGATTCACGTTTCAAAGACAATGCTCTGAGGAAGTGGATCGATCCGAATGGAGACAGGCATCCGGATCTGTGGCGAGGGACCGAAGCTGGGCCGACACTATTGCTGATATCTCTCCGCCTTAAACCATTTGCAGTTCGCAGACAAAGACCCATTGGCTGCCAAGCACTTTGCACTTAAGGATCTTTTCTTTAATATCATCTTCTCCTTTGAGTTGGTTGCGAACATGTACCTTGGTGGAAACTGCTGCCTGCTGCTAATTCTTCACGCAAAGTCAGAAATTGGTTCACCTGGGTTCTTCGCTGTGATCGCATACCTGTTCAGGTATGGCTTCTGGTGGCGACGATTCTGGTCATCTGGGTGGAACCTCAACTGAAGATACCAGCACGAGGTCTGAGCAAGGTTTCGCAAGCGCTTTGGACCGAGGAACGTGTTCGATGTGGTGGTGGTGTCTATAGGCATGCTTTGTGAACCGGGTTCTTGACAAAGCTTCATGTCATCATGTTCTGCATCGATCTGAAAATCTGCTTGCTCGCTAGGCAACCGAGTGCCAGGGCAGAATTCGCATGTCCGGTCAGGCATCCTAGACGTCTTTGAAGTGCCCTTGCCGGGTCCTCTCAGCTTGCTTCGCATGATGCGAGCATTCCGAGTCTTCAGACTCTTTAAGCCGCTTGGAGCATTCAGCTTTTGCCGCGCTTTCGTCCAGAACCGCGGTGTCCATTCTCCTGTGTGCATTTTCTCCAATTTTGATTACATCTCCAGAGACACTCGCCGGGTAGTTATTGGGTTGAGAAGTTGAAGTGGCCGGTGGACCACCTGGAACGCATAGAACCAGGGTGGATACATGTGGCCAAAGTAGTTTCCGAAACGTGTACTGTAAGGCGGATCAAGTCACTGCGAAAGAGCCTTGCCTAGAATGTGTGGTGCCGCTTGTGGAGACGTGCGTGGCAGAGTTAGATCTTGATCGTCTGACAACCTTTTTTGTGCTGCGAAGTTGCCAGAATGAGCCATTCAACTTGCAGTGAGGATCTTAGAATCGCTGGCGAAAGCTATGCCTGCGCATGTGAATGCGTTCGGCATCTTGTTCCTCGTCATGCACCTCGGCCGCAAACTAATTTATGATTTTGTATGGCATCGTTCGGGAAGGAAGTGCAGGGGTCTTTGCAAGATGTCCGCATCATTCATGAGAGGCGAGCTGTCAAGTGAATCAGGTGCATTTATTCCATTCTGGCAGTGGACTTTTTCATGAGCCAAGGCTGCAAAACTTAACACCTAATCTGCTTCTGGGTGTTTCTCTCGTTTCTGTTTATGATAAGGGACTGTCGCTGTTTCCTTCTCGCGGCATACAGCGGGTGGGCTGGTGCGCCTTTCTCAGGAACTTTGCCTCTGAAGGCTTTTACACCAACACATTGCATCTCGACTGCGCATAGAGAGAGTGCATTGCATAATAATTCACAGGGCATTGACACTCGCACGAAATGTCCTCGATCAGGAACATAACTGTGCCTTTGGGCACATCGCGGGAGCTACACCATGGGGAGGAGTATTTCGGGAATTTTTGTCGCTCGGCTGCGCAGTGTGAGATGATATTACATTTCCGGGCCAAGTGTGGCCTTCTCGCGACCTCGACCCTTCTCGAGGCCTCTCGCTGTTCACCATGTTTCAAGTCCTGACCGGCGACTCCTGGTCAGAGGCTGTGGCACGGCACTTGAACCTTTGATCGATGTTTAGCCCAGCACGCCGCGCTCCCCTGCTTGGGTGGCAGTTAAGGATTTTTACCGACGACATCACTCGAACCATCGGGACGACAGTCTATTTTATATCGTTTCAGCCACCCACATGCAAGAGGCAATCGTTCCTGTGAACATACCGACTTGGCTGTCAGCTGAGGCTGCTCTGTGGAATCGCCGCCGTCCCAGGGACCTTGCCGGATTCAGTTTTGCTCAGGGTGTTAGAGTGTCAGAGCCGAGGTCTTGATCAATGTCACCATTGCCGTCCTCTTGGAGCTGCTCGGAAAGCGTCTGTATTGTAGCATATTGTATCACTCAGTCATCCAGTCGTCACGGATTAGTAGCGAGTGACTAGTCTGCATTCTTTGAGTGCGGTTTGATCGGCTCCTCAGGAAGATGGTGGACGATGGGTCGGAAAAGCTAGCCGAAGCCCAACGGGCGGCGGCTGAAGCAGCCGTAAGTTCCAGCACGACCGTGGACTGGGCGTTTCAGGCTTGTGCTGACAGCCCCACTCCATAAGTGCATGTCATGCATGCCTTGTCCAGTTGACCAAGCAGGCTGACCGATTGAACTGCAGAAGCAGAAACCGGCATGCGGAATCAGCGATAGCCCAGCGATAGCAGCGTCTAAGATGCAAGCCCACCTTGTCCCGTCGCTGTGAGGCTGCTCAGTGGCTTGGCCAGCAACTCCGAGGGACGGGTTGGATAGCATATACTTGTACGGTATATAGTCACATAGTAGGACTATGGTATATACTATAGTATGTTGTGTATATCTGTATATCTATATCACATTACGATATCTGTATCTATACCCCATGTATCTATTTCCAGGGTTCTATGTCTCCATATATCATATACCTATATATCCACGCATTGTTGTATGTATTGGCATATGGTTCAAGACCCTCAGCAGTTCCAAGCGGTTGGGGAAAGTACTGGGCGAGTTGGATGTTCAATCCAAAGCTTGATTGCTTTACACTTGGTTCGGTCTGGACCTGGCAAACAGGTTCCAAGCAAAATCCGCTCGACTCCTCTGACAAGTCAGCAAGTTTACACAGTGTGCTAGGCATTCTGCGGCAGAAACTGCAGTGTAGAAATGTCCTGAAATGTCCCACAAAAACACAGCCTCAATGAAGCTTGGGATCGCCTGGGAATCCCGTCACAGCCCTAAAGCCCGGCAGAGTCCGAAAACCATACAGCAGCTGTCGACGGCAAACCGAGGCTTCCGGTAGCAGACTGCAGCGGAGTAGTGGAGTTGGAGCAGCTTCTCTTGAATTGGCTAGACAAGTAGGTGGCTATACATATATATCTATATATATATATATATATATATAGATGTGGACGTATTTTTTTATTTATGTATATATATATATATATATACACATGCCAAGTGTGTTGACGTCCATGTATACGCATGGGAGAGACGGAGAGAAAGAGATGGGGAGCCGTCCTGCAGAGGAAGCATAACAAAGTCACTCTCTCTCTTGACTTAGCAGGCCTCATATTGTAATGGCCGGGAGCCACCCCCCGACCTCTCCCGTGGAAGGAGGTGGGATCCAAGGATCTCCTTTCTCCGAGTAGGAAAGGCAGAGCGAGTAATTATGAGCAGCACGACATCAGAGACGGTGCAGCCGCAGTCGCCATATTGCCACCGAAGTGTTGTTTCCTAAGTCTGAAGTTGCTGTCAGTGACTGCCAGCTGAGGAATGAAGTACGTGTTCTCAGACAAGACATGCAAGTCTTCAAAAAGCACCTGGAAATTCTGGCAGCTCTTGCGAAGGAGACCGTTTGCATCGTGACGCATGCTCTCTGTTGTCGCGGCACTTGAACAAGGGCCCGTTGTCTTGTCTTGTGCTTGATCAGGTCCCAGACTCATACTGACATATTGCTGTCCATCTTTCTAACATTCCAGGAGCTGCCTGGGCCTACTCTTGCAATGAATGTGATCATGTCAATGTGCAAACGTGACTGAAGTTCGAAGTTTATTACATGCTAGCTGCCAGCTCCATGGGCAGGTTTTAGTTTTTCCAGGCGGCAGAGCAAACAACAAGAACCTGGTGTCGATGAACACATTTCAGCAAACGCTGTCGCTATGCGGGCACACTTCCGGAAGGTGTAAGCTTTTGATTTCGCAACCGCCACTGATGGAAACTAAAACCCCTGCGGACCAGGACAAGCCTTCGCTGCTTCTTCGGCTGTGCCACAGCCAGCCAGGCATGGCTTGACTTGTGTGGCGACCGGATCAAGAAATATGACAGAATCGCAGCTGTTCTTGGCTGCGCAATGCACGGTAAGACGGAGTCAGCTTCCACGGCAGCAACACGGATGGTTTCATTGAGCAGTTGTGAACTGTCAGGCAAACCGCCATGACTTTCAGCATGATCCGCAGCACCTGAGCTGTGGTCTTGAAAAAATTCGCTCTGCACGCGTGGTTAATTTTTTCGCAGGTTGTGCATGTGTCCCACCCCTCAAAACAGACACATGAGCAGGTTGTTACTACAACCGCAGTCGACACGAGAAGGAAAGAACAACTTGCGACACTAATGTCCAGTTGCAGACCCTCTCTGAGTTCGTATGGCCACGACAGGAAGTGATGCTGCTGAATCCCGTCCGGTAGGTAATCATCCCATCGATCAGTTGATTCCACCTATCTGTGTCTGGTCATTTGTACTTGGGAGCCTGCGGTACATGTTTCGCCGAGCATGACAGAGGCCCGAGGGCCTGTTTCACACTGATGCCAGATTGGCGAGATTCAGGTTTACAGCCAGACGTGTTATTCTAAATGTTTCTGAAGACCAGTTCTGAGCCAGACATGATCAAGTTCAACAGGCGAGGCAAGAGCCTGTGGTTTCACTTTCCGAACCATTTTGCATGTCGCGGTCACTCGTGGCTCACCTGCCCCAGCATGCTGCCCTGCTGAGTCGCTCTTCTGGTTACTGGCATTCGGGAGATTTCCCTTTCTCTGGTCTCCAATGGATCCGGGCCTTCCTGCACTCCAGAAAGTTTGCAAATTGAGGAGTTCGGGCACCTTTTCTAAGAGGGTTGAGCGTGGCTGTGGCGAACAACTCAGTTAGCTTCCGGGCGCATCATGCTAGGGAAGTGGGCGTGATTTGTGTGGCGCGAACTTGTGGCCATGTTACGTGTGTGGCATGCAGGGCGGTCAAGCAGCCCTGCTGGTCGAGATTAGGTTTTGCTGCACGCAGTCCTTTTCCCGTTGCTGCAACGAGGCAGATGTGTTGGGGCAGATCGTGTTGTTGGATGCCATGCGATCTAGCCGCTAGTGCTCCGGCCCCAACACACTGCCGCAGGCGGCTAGAAAGCTCAAGGGCCCTGACAATACAAATCACAAGATTTGCTGCTTGTTGTAGGCCTCGAGGAAAATTAGGTTCTGACATGCGCACGGCCGCAGTTTGATCTGTGACCGTAGACAAGATGAAAGGCTGCACTCAACAGTGAGGTTCTGCTGGTCGTGCACTGTGGCATAGAGCCGGTCCTGCGAAGCAGGATCTTCGGAAAGGCTCCAGATTTAATTCGTTAGATTCTGTGGTACGGATTTCAATCCTGAACTCTAGGCAATGACGGACCATAGCAGGCTTGCCTGTTTCGCTCGGGTTGTTCGACGCCTCAGAATCTTTTGTAGGAGACGTATGCACGCAAATGATGTCACAGGCTCCATGAGGCATGGGTCTTCACGGGGCTTCGTCCATCTTCGAAAGGCGCTCAAGAACTTCACAACTCGTTACAGTACCTAAGTGCACTCGGAAGCACCCCTGCTTTTCCCAGCAACTCCTTGCCATGATCAGCTATGAGGTGCTGCGGCATTAAAAATACGTCAACGACGCCCCTGGTTTCACTAACCACAGGCCAATAGTCGCTGGTGGCAAGACTCCACATGTTTGCAGCTAGATTTCTGGCGTTATACTGTGGTGTCTTGCCACTATGCATCGATAAAAGACCGAACATGCAGTGCGCTCCACGCGGAAAAAATCGACCACGCCGGCCTCTCTATCATCCTTTGCTTACACTTCGTCACATGATGCAGTGGCCTGGAAAGAGTGAAGGCTCCAGACAACGAGCCCGCGCCTGCGCCTGCTGCTGCAGAGGCCTGGAGCTGCGAGCCTACTGCCATCAGGGGTCAGGGGTGGTGCAATGTGCAGGAGACCTCCGAGGATGACGACAGCAAGGCCTATGAAGCAGAGCTTAAGGAGCCAACAGAGCGAACAACTTCTGAGCCTGTACTTCCGGCTCATGTTGGGCCAAGAATACCCATAGCTTCAATAGCTGTCCCCTCACTGAAGAGGACCTCCTGGAGAAAAAGGAGGCCGCCAAAGCCGAGGAGGATTTTGACAGGGCGGAGCAGCTGAAAAACCAGGCCCAACGCTGGAGGGCAGAGGGCCGGACCAAAGGCAGCAGCGCACACTCTCTCGACTAGATGCTCGCTTTCCACATGTCCAGAAAAAAAGGTGCAGCAGCTGAAGGATAAGGAGCTGGCACGGCTGAAGGCAGCGGCCAGTTTCACACACAAGAGTAGGCCCAATGCAAAAGAAAGTGCGTGACGCTGGTGCCGCGATATGCAGAGTGTGGACTCTATCTACTGATGGAAGCCGGTCTCTAGCAAACCAAGAGAAAGCAGTTGGTGGGAAATGCCGTCACAACCCAAATCCACGAGATCCTGAAGAAATCAAGCCGCCCTGAGGAGAAGAAGGATGAAGCTCTAAAGGCAGAAAATTATCTGGAGGCCCTCCTGCACTTGATGAAGTCTTGCTGACAAGCCCAAGCTACTGGAGGCCAAGTCAATCAAAGCTCGCATTGCGAAGCTGGAGCTTTGAGACAGACACAGTGACGTGGCTCGAAGACACGCTGCACCTGGCGTAGGAACTGTAAACCTGAAAGAAGCGTCGAAGGTAACTTCGACTGCTTGCTTTCCCGTACAGATGCCTGTGATGCACACGTGCTGCAGATGGTATTTTAGCAGGGTTGTCTGACCCAGTCTGTTCGTACAGGACATCTACCCCGAAGGTATGCCTATCGGCCATTATCGGCCCCATGTCATGTGTGCGCAGACAGGTTTGATGCAGCCTGCAATTGTCAGGCTTGCGCCCAGGGTTTACTTGCAGTTTAGTTCTGCTTTTTAGGCTTCGCTCCGACAAAAGCTAGTAGTAGTTGCTCTGCACCACAGACCTGTTAGAGAAGCGTCCAGAGAAAAATGCAGCGTCGACGAAGCACCCTGCCCTCTGCGCACATCGCTAGCCGCGACAAGATGTCTCTGGGATGGCAGGCCGCCAGCGCATTGCCTAGATAAGTGTAAAAGCAGCGTCGCAGCACTTGCTAATGCCTCGAGGTCAGTGTCCTCTTTCATCATCGCCAAACGCTTCCAAACGCGACAGCGTGACCTCAAGCCCTTCTAGTCACATCTTAAGGTCTGAGGTGATGCAGTACATACTTCGCCTACGGATCTTGCAGATGCTTACCGCGAGCTGCCAACATGCCTCTTATCTCGAGCTCCAACATATGGGAATGATTGTGACCGAGGTCTTCTCGCAATGGACGTCTTTCTTGGAGCTCATTGAGCGGGCTCATCCCTCAGGAGTAGCATAGACTCGTGGTCTCAAAGTACCTGTGAAGACTTTTTGGTCGAAGCCTAACCTACGTTGTGCGAGGCCTTGGATACCGCACGCATCCAGCACAGGCGATTCGACGCTTTGCTGCAGAAGCCAGGTGGTCGAGTCAGAATCCTATTCATGTTTCTTGTTCCTCGACTTCGCGCCAAGTTCCGCTAAGGATGGGTCATTGAGTCGCCGCCTTGCTGTCTCGTGTCATGCGCTGGTGAGAGGGTGAGAGTTTCAGCGCATGGATAATGAGGTCTAGAGGAACGTGCTCAGCGCGTCGCGTGGCTGAGTGAGCCTGCAGTGACAGGCACGCAAGATGCAGAATCTCGCTGCTTCCTCATTGACGCTAGTATTGTTCCTACTACTGCTGCTGCTACTACTACTACTACCACTACTACTACTACGCTACGGCTCAAGCCATTTTGGCTCAAGTTTCGGCTCGAAGTGAATTTCAGAGTGGCGTCCTGAGTCCTGAGTCCCTCTCGGTCCCGTCGTCTTCTTCTCTCTTCTCCTCCTTCTCTCTCTTGATCTTTTCTCTTCCCTTGGGACTGTTTGCACTGCCTTGCCTTGCCGGACTGTACTGTTTTCTCTCCTGCACTGTATTTTGTTGCCTTTCGCCTTGAAAGGTGTTCTTGCCTCCTGCACTTCCCCTTGCACTGCCTTGCCTTGCCTGACCCCTGCACTTCCCTGCGGAGAGATGACTTCTCAGGCCGAAACCCTTCTTCTCCCGGGAGCCTTGGGGTATAGAGCACCTCTCAGTCCCGCACCTGCAGCTACGATTGACGACCTCACCGAGGAAGCAGGTAAAGACGAGGACCAGGACGATAGCATGACGGAGCCGGGATCGCCTAGGCAAATTTCGGGGCTGCTTGCATCAAGGGGTGATCTTATTGATCCGAGTGTCCCTCCAGTACCGGGGCCAGGGACGCCAGAGCTTGGTGGGGGTGACGAGTCCCCACTTGGAGGAGGGATTGGAAAAGTAACTCGAGACGAGGACCCTTTTGATGTCCCTGTTCCCACCTCCTTTGCACCTGTCCCTACCTTTGACCTTGCAAGGGATGATAAGCGTGAGTCACCTCCAACCCCTGCTCCTCCCTTTAGCATTACGAACTGTCCTCATAGATTGAGCTCCCCTGTTGGCCCCTGTGGGAACTCTGGAGCTCCTTTGCAGTTTGCAAGGCATACACAGGCTCTCGAGGGGCAATCAATGGTTGGGTCATCTGCTCTTCCTGTTCAATTGGGGAAATCTAGGCCTCTGACACACGTTCGTAATGATGGACAAATTGCAGGACTTCCCAGCTCTTTCAGGTCATCCGCAGAAGCTGCTCTCTCTTCCTCCGAGGGAGAGAAGCCTGAAGTTAAGAAACCTAAACTCGACAGGGAGCGGGATGAGCTTGTTGATGCCGAAATGGAACCCTCCCGGGGAAGCCACCCTTACACGTCCGTAAGGAACAACAGAGGCCCGCGTGTTTCGTCGCAAAACCCCAGTTGGCTTGAAGCTTTGCAACAGATTCATTCCAGTTTGCAGGAACTCCACGGTAAATCTGATACCTCGAAGGATCTTGTGGACAAGATGCACACGGAAATGATTGGTGTGCGCTCGGACATGTCGCAGCACCATATTCGTTTGGAGCATATTGAGGGAGTAACTAGGGAACACACGGAGCTGCATGAATCCACGATATTGCGTGTTTGTGAACTCGAGAAACAGGTCAAAGCCCTGAAAGCCCTTAAAAGCGAACGAAGCCGCTCCCCCACCCC